TTCATCGAAAACTACAGCAAAACGTTAGTTCTAAGAGAAAATATTCGTCACGGATGATCGTTATAAAAGAATATTTTCTGCCCTACTTATTCTATCATATGGAAATTTATATTATTAATTTATATAACTTAATTTGTTCCGTCAAGCAAAAGTAAATTTGCTTTAGAAATGCTAAACTCGGAACTAATCGCTAAGATAAATATAAAAGATATTATCGATATTAAATATATCTCAACCGTAAAGTTTAACATTTATACACGATTATTTAATTTTTTAAATTAATTTTTTTAAATTTACAAAAGCTTATAAGCTACATTTTTTTTCTTTTGTTAATAAAAAAAATGTAAGTTTTTACAGTTAATTTCAATTAAATTTCCAAATGATTAGTTTAGATTGTTGCATTTTGCTTCACAGTTTTGTAATTGCAACAGTTTATGCAAATTAAATATGGTAGAGGGATTTCTTTCGTGAACGATATTAACCTTATTTATCCTATTTAACCTCATTTAGAGAATAACACACCCTGAATATAAACATCTTAAGGCGCTAATGTGTAAGAAAAAAATTAATGAATCAAGTGTTCAAGTGTTTAGTTAGCCTATTTTTATATTGCGGGAGGAAATATTTCTGCGGTTTAACGCCATTTTTTTTTAATATTTTTTTTACTTAGCTATGTGTCACGTTTCAGTGTTTTTTCCCCTGTTTTTTAATAAATTGCTAGTGGAAAATCATTATCCATAATTTGTTTGAATGTAAATTATGCTATTATTACGATGAAACGAGATTTTAGTTTAATTTATTGCTTAAAATTCCAAGTTAGAAATGTGTTTAGTGGCTTAAAAAGTTGATTCCATATTCAAGAAAGCATTTTATAATGATTTTTGTTATTTTGTAACTAACAATAAATTAAAATTATTGTTTTAATTAATTTATTTAAATTTTAATAATTTAAATTTTCAGCTGATTTGTTGCATAATTTTTTAAAATTACGTTACAAAAAAAATCAGTTAGCCAATTGGCCTAATTACTCTTTTTTAATAGAAGAATATGCGTTTAAAAAATTCTCTCTCGTTATTGTAGTGATGCTTAGCTCAAAAATTATGTAAATAATAATTTATAGAAAATTTAAGCTTACTTTTTACTTTTCTTTTATATATATATTTTAATTTTTAGTTTACATTCTTGGGAGAAAGGTTAAAGTTTAACATACAGGAAATCAATTGTTTTATCAACTCAGAACGTTGTTGCAATTTAAAGAGGGTCTATTATGAAATTAGATGTAAACAATGCAAATGATAACAATAGAACTATAGGCAGATAGCCTATGGCATAACAAGAGCCATGTGAAAACTAATTTTAATAACAGAGGTATTAATTAAATCTTTCATTAACTACTTCCTATAGCAAGAAAATCCGGGGAGAAGTCGAAGGTACATTTCTTATTATAAAATCACTTCCATATTTTTTTTCAAAAGGCTTACAATAATTGTAATGTTTATTTTATCTTTCCATTACAGATGTTAATTTAAAAGAGTTAATTACTGAATCAATCACGAATCGTCGACCTTTATAGCGAATTGAACGAGTTGAACTGTGAAATTACTTCATATTTACTAAGAAAAATTGAAGTAAACAAACATAAACTGCATACAGCCAATTGTCTTTGAGCTAATTAGTTTTCAATATTCATCTCTACATACTAAAAAAAAGTAAAAAAGAAATTTGTTTCTAGACACAAAAGATATTGAATTAAAGGAAGCGTCATTTTCAAAGTTCTCTAAAGGAAAATTACGAATAAAAAAAAAAACAATTCATTAATTATCTGTAATATTTATGATGTTGCCACTTCATAAATATTTTATACATTTTAAAATTTAAATTTTACAAAAGATAATAATTAGTTTCATCTTGACAGAATGACCTTTCTTCCACCTGTAACATGGACCATCTTTACATCTTCGTGAATGAAGAAAGAGACTCGTTGAGAAGGTTATCTTCGAAATTAATTTTATGTAGTGTATGTGCTGATTAATTTAAATATTAGCATGATACGCGTATTACGTGTAGAGTACAATAATGAATAATATTTTAAATCCGCCCTATTGCATAAATAAACTAGAATGATAATATATTACTCAACACACGTGCATATATCTATCATTGTTTGCCTTCATATTTTTAACCTGATATACTGTATAATAAAATTAAAATTGCATTTATTGATTGTACACTGTNTCTTTGAAAAGATAAATTGATCAAAATTCAGATTACTGATAATAACAATAAAATTATAATAAATCATAAAATAAATTAAGGAAACATTTCAAATTCAAATAATAATACGAATTTTTAAAAATGTTTACAAAAGAAAAATCCAGTTTTCAGAAATTCGTGATAGATGATTGTTGAACATTTTTATTTTAAAAATAATAATAATTTTTATAAGTTTCTTTTTTAATATAAGTATAGATGATCTGAAGATAATTTTAATATATTAGTTACGTAAGATTAATAATTTTTAATGTAGAAAGACCACTTGAATAAATAAAGAAAAATAAGTAATTAATTTGACTTATTTAATAAAATTAAACTTTCAAATTTATAATTTTATAAGGCCTATAGGCCTACTATTCAGGAAAAGTAAGTAATCTTATAAGAAAGAGTAGGAAAGAGTATTTCGTGTTGGACTACTTTTCCTAATAACATTTTCTATTACTAAATATAATACAAATTAATTTCATTTATCATTTTTTATTTTAAAATTAAATTTTTTACTAATATTGTATAATAGAGTAAATTTTCCTTTAATTTTCGTCTTCAAAAATTGCTTTTTCTGTCAACAAGCCACGCACTATCAGTTCTATTCAAAGAGAAGTGAAGTGACAGAGAATAACACCTTTTGTCCTACAAAAAAAAAACCTTGTGTTTATAGAGATGACTCATTCCACTTCAAGGACTACCAGAGATTTATTGCTTTTCCTGTTGTAGAATTTTCCCCGTTTTAATTTATCGTCTGAATGCATTTCGATGTCTCTAAATAAAATATACAAAAATATTAATGAAATTTTATTTATGTTATAAAAAAAAATAATGATAAATTTACTATTTTACGCAGAATTAATAAAAAATTTTTTTTAACTTATTAAAACTGCTATTTACTTAGAATTACTGTTAATTTTTAAACTATTAAAGGTGTATATATGTGTATAAATAGTGATTGAGAGAAGTAAATGAGATCTAGACCATTAATAAGAGCCTCGTCCTTCACAGAAAGTCATAAAAATACACAAATAAAATAATCAATATAACAAATAAAAGTAAATGTTTTACTAATTAGCAATAAAAACTTTATTTTATATCATACTTTTAACATAAAGGTTGCCCTTTGTGCTCACACCTCTTCTCTTTGATCCTGTGTGTAAATTCAGAATTCTAGAGAAAATTATATAAATTTAGAAATAAAATGACTCTATATTCTATATATCAAATAGAAAAAAAAACTACAGAGTAAAATATAGGGAAAAAATAAATAAATAAGCTAATCTAAATAAAACCAAAATTGAATTATTCAATATTTTTCAACATATATCTCAACCGTAAAGTTTAACATTTATACACGATTATTTAATTTTTTAAATTAATTTTTTTAAATTTACAAAAGCTTATAAGCTACATTTTTTTTCTTTTGTTAATAAAAAAAATGTAAGTTTTTACAGTTAATTTCAATTAAATTTCCAAATGATTAGTTTAGATTGTTGCATTTTGCTTCACAGTTTTGTAATTGCAACAGTTTATGCAAATTAAATATGGTAGAGGGATTTCTTTCGTGAACGATATTAACCTTATTTATCCTATTTAACCTCATTTAGAGAATAACACACCCTGAATATAAACATCTTAAGGCGCTAATGTGTAAGAAAAAAATTAATGAATCAAGTGTTCAAGTGTTTAGTTAGCCTATTTTTATATTGCGGGAGGAAATATTTCTGCGGTTTAACGCCATTTTTTTTAATATTTTTTTTACTTAGCTATGTGTCACGTTTCAGTGTTTTTTCCCCTGTTTTTTAATAAATTGCTAGTGGAAAATCATTATCCATAATTTGTTTGAATGTAAATTATGCTATTATTACGATGAAACGAGATTTTAGTTTAATTTATTGCTTAAAATTCCAAGTTAGAAATGTGTTTAGTGGCTTAAAAAGNCTGGTATCTCGCGACCTACCGATTGATATGCCATACTGTAAACTAAAGCAAATAAATGCGTTTAAATGAGAAATATAAATAAAATCTATAAATTAATACTACTAATGACGCATAATTAACCGTCGTTAAGTCACAAATTATGAAAAGAAATGATAAAACACATTAATAATTAGCATACCAGTTAGGAACTAATCCCAACTTGATAGAAAGGAATTATTCCATCCATCAAGTAGGATTAATTTAATTACTTCGGCCGGAAATGGAGGAATATTTTACAATATCGATTGTAGTGAGGGTCATAGTTTTAAAACCACGAAAATAACGTTACAGAGTAACGCAGTAACGGTTACGTTACTGCGTTAAACTCAGTTGACACGGATCAATGAAATTCCAGACCATACTAATAGATGTAACTGCTCATTTAATTGATACTAAAGAGTGTCGAGGAGGTTGTGTGTGGTTCCTAGTTTAATATTCTGTGGTCTACATTAACTGAGAAGGATCAGGAATTGGGTTTCCATGGTAACATCTAAGGAGAATCACCTCCTAACTCAGCTTCCTCCTCATTCGTTACCATTGCAAATGACTTTTAAAAAAAGTTGAGTGTGTGCTTAATATTTAAATATGAGTAAGATTTTTTTGGATCAATAAATAAGGCATCGATCAAATTAAATCCCTTATTCGTTGTAGGGATTTTTACGTAATCGTTGTTAAGGAAACTAAATCCCTAAACGTCACTTCAACTTAGAAAATCGTCCATTTTCTATGTTGGTTTAAATATATTTTTTTAGAATTGCAATCTTTTCTCGACAGAGGGCGTGTTGGTGTTTTCAAAATGGTGGCTGTTAGTGTATTATTGTTTGGAATTGTCAATTTTTTTCTTCGGTTTTCTGGTAAGAAATAAAGATTTAAATATATTTTGAACTGTGGTAATCACGTATATATACTCAAAAGCGAATAAAATTCTAATATTTTTCTATTAATTCGGATATTAATGGATAAAATTAATTCCTATGGTTATCATCGAGGAAGTTTGTCTATTAGAGGTGTTGGTTTAATATACAGACATTTATTGATACACTGCAAACACTATTATAAAAATCCCGCGAAAACATGCAATACAAAGTTTGCTTTATCCTCAAATATGAATTATAATTTACCTTATGTTTAAAACATCTGGTCTGTCAAACAAACATTTCTTCAATATTTATCAATTCAAACATCAAATATATCCAATAACTTCTTATTTGACAATCTTTCATAATTTCAAGTTAATTCTTTGTTCTTATATCTATTTTTTATCATTGTAATAATAATTGATTACAAAAATTTTTAAATTTGAGTCTAATTATAATGAATGTTTCATTTTTCTTAAATATTTCACTTGTTAGTAAAAATGTCCACATTATCATTACATAGGTATGTAAAGTATTGCAATGTTTCTTCCCCTGTACACAAATTTCATCCAAAATATCTTTTTGATTACATAAAAATGAAATTTGAAGTTTACTAAAGGATACTAAATTTACAGTTTGTTATATAAATGTCTACTAGGACAGATCATATTAATAGGACTTATTGTACTGGTGTTTGGTTTCTGCAACTGAGAAAAACTTATTCAGAGAAAACAAACCATCTTTATTGTTCACCTGGTATTTCGCCTGTACACACTTTGTGTTTTGGACCTTCGGGTCCCTTTTCAGCAGGTTTACAAAAACACAATGCTAAAAACAAAATTTATAAAAATTTTACAACAATACAATATATTAAGAGTACCCGACAATAATATATAGATTTTAGCATGACTTAAAATTTCACTTTTGTTAATTACTTTGATATGTAAATAAATACACAGAAGATTTCCTATCATAATACCATTCTTCTGTGTATTTATTTACATATTGAAATAATTAACAAAAGTGAAATTTTAAGTCATGCTAAAATCTATATATTATTGTCGGGTACTCTTAATATAAACACAAATAAAGTATGTACAGGTGAAATACCAGATGAACAATAAAGATGGTTTATTTTCTTTGAATAAGTTTTCCTCAATTGCAGAAATCGAACATCAGTACAATAAGTCCTATTCATAAGATCTGTCCTAGCAGACATTTATATAACAAACTGTATAAATAATGACATAAAGGCATAGGAATTAGATACTAATTTTAGTTTTCTTCATCTCTTTTATTTTAATGAAAATGTATAACAACACACTGTCTATAATAACTTTGTTAGCTTTCTGCAACTGTTGTTTTATTTTGGAAATGATGTATCATTGTTATTGAATTTTCTGTTATGGAGTTCATTATTAAGCTGATGACAGAGGAAGAGTAAGTTGAATGACAAGTGAGGGAGTACAATCTACTAAAGTTTTGTGTTGGTTTTTCAAATATGCATACTTATGCATATTTAATTCTCTGTATTTTATCTCAAATCACAACTAATAATGTTCAATAATATATTGTTTATACTTTCTGTATAAAAAAATCTATAAATCTATAAGGAAAATGCATTTAATAAAAACTTGGTTAGCACGTTATAATGTTTAAACAAAGTATTAATTAATTGAAAAATCAGAAACATGTTTGTATAATTTTTTCAGCAAAAATTTTAAAATTGTTTGTGGCACCATCTGTTATAATGTAAAGTTTTTTAAAATAAATTACTATTAATTATTATAAGATGGCAAAAAGTTTAATTTTGAAAGCAGAGATGAGTTTTATAAAAAAAACTCTAAATGCTAATAATGAGTAAAATCTTCATTTTAAGTTCCCATTCAAGATATGACATGGCCTCCCCTTCTATTTCCTTGCCTCCTTGCTCTTTAACCACCAAAATTTAATAGCATCACTTCCCTAATACACAAACATTCCTGCAAAATTTCAGAAATTTTCAACAAAAGGCATAAGAGTTACTAAGCATTAAAGTGGGTAAACAAAATCATGCCCCCAAACACATACACACGATATACATACACACACGTACACATACATTCATACATACAGAAAAACCCTTACATTCTTTTGAATTTCTTGACATTTAAAGGTGCCCTGAATCAAAAAATGTAAAAATCTTGGAAAGGATCATTTGACTGTATACTTTCCCTCTTGTCATATGTAACAGGAGGAAAGTAAATTTCTCCAAAAAAAATAAGCACAGATGAAGTTACAGCCATTACAATAATCAGTATTTACATTAGAAATTTTAAATTTACCTCATACATCCACAAACTTAACTCAATTAAATAAATGTTGAAGTGGATATGAAAAAGCTTCACAAAATTGACATAAATCTTTTTTCCCTAACAGCATTCTTTTGTTGTTCCAACAAAAGAATGCTGTTAATTAAACAAAATAAATTTATTTAAGTAAAATTGTATAAAGCATTTACATTAATGTTTCTGTTGTAAAGCTTTGGAAGATCACCAAGGTGCAATAGCTTGGACACCATAAATGAAATTTTGGCCAAATGGATTTGCAATGCTCAATAACATCATTAATTTTGATGTCACCAAGATTTAAGTTCATTTAGCAAGTATAATTTATTCAATAGGAAAATCTTGTGAATTAATCCTAAATTTTGATATTATCAATGGAAAATTTTGATATAAAGTAAACTTGTTTTCTAAGTTTAAATTTAAAAAATGAAAAAAATTATGTTTTTTAACTTTATTATAAATTGATTGTTTGTCTTATTTTTAAACTCCAAAAATATTATAATATACTTGATGTTTGTAAGAGAATTTTTAGAAAAATTTATCATCTAAAAACAGCTTAATTTTATAAATGAAAATACTCAAAATTCATAAATAAGCACAATATTTCTACATGGCATTTCTACTAGATTTTAAGTTGATAATGATTTGTTAATATTTTCTTTACTTAAATTGCTATCAAACTTTTAAAATAAGTAAAACATGAATAACATTGTTCATAATGCATTTACAGTGGTATCTTCTATTTTGAACTTAATTCATTCCAGGAGGGTGTTTGAAGTCCAAATCAATTTTTTTCCATAAGAAATAATGGAAAGTGAATTAATTCATTCCCAGACCCCAAACAATACCTACTTCGATGAACTTAAAACAGCAAATTCACATAATATAAGGTTAAAATCAATTAAATTCCAAAATAATGAATTAAAACACAAAAACCATAAATAAAATATGTAAATACTGTATAATAAAATTAAAATTGCATTTATTGATTGTACACTGTGGACTTTGGCATCTTAACATAGATGTATGATATAATCAAAGCAGTTGTGAAATTTAACATAAAGAAGTGTGAGATTTTATTCTTTGTTTAGAAGCTTGCTTTAAATTTTCTATTTCACATTTTGTTTGAATAATATCAAGTTGTAATGTCTTCAGATAAAAAATATGTTAGGCATATTATGCTTTGAGTTTCATAATGGATATAACACCATACAAATAGTAAAAAATTTTGTAATGTATAAGGGAAAGATACTTATAAACTTTGAATGTCAAATGTGGTTTAAAAATTTCCATTTGGGAAATTTTAAACTAAAGGATATAAAGAGGTTCCAGGAAAAAATTGTTAAAAATTGACAAATAACACACAATACAGTATATATGTTACCGCTAAAGCTCGGAAACTTGTTAATCTGCAGATTACCTAGCTAATCTGCAGATTAACTAGCGTGATCCGTTAAAGTTGCTAAAATTGTTCTATTTCTCAAATTACCTAGGTAATGTGCAGATTATCTAGGTAATCTGCAAATTACCTACTAGGCACTCGGTAAAGTGAAAATAAGATCTTTGCTGAAACAACAGCAACGTTTCTGTACGCTTAAATTAACATAATGTTCTTTATTTAATTTTCGATATCTAAAGAATCAAGTTAATACAATCAAACAATCGACAAATTAGTTGATAGAATCAATCATCAACCAATTAAAAAACATACAAAAAATCAAACGATTTAAAATATTAATACAATTAGGGAAATTATTATATAGATAACCACCTATGGAATTTCGGGACTTTGAGTATCTATCTGAACTGAGGGGACCGAGACGACTTCAACGATACCCTACTTTTGGACCGGAGACGAAAAATAATAAAGTTATCATACTTTTTCTGGTGATCGCATGATATAATTGTGCAGTTAATGTTACCTATGGTGAGTAAAATGGCGGCTCGTCTCTGATTCCAGCAAACAGAAGAAAGGAAACAGTGGGGACGCACGTTCTGTCCTAACCTAACCTATTTTAATAAATTACCATAATTATTACCAACCAAATTATTAGAATAGGTTAGGTTAGGTTTGAACGTGCGTCCCCACTGTTTCCTTTCTTCTCTTTGCTGGAATCAGAGACGAGCTGCCATTTTACCCACCATAGGTAACATTATCCATTTGTGCAGTCTAAAGATTGGTGACACTTTAAATTTCATAGCAATTGGTTTCTGCGACAAGCACACCTATTTGTGGTACATTTATTTGTGGCAAAGATCTTATTTTCACTTTACCGAGTGCCTAGTAGGTAATGTGCGGATTACCTAGATACTCTGCACATTATCTAGGTAATTTGAGAAATGAAACAATTTTCACAACTTTAACGGATCACACTAGTTAATCTGCAGATTAGCTAGGTAATCTGCAGATTAACGAGTTTCGAACTTTAGCAGTAACATATATAATCAAACACACCAAAAATAAAGTGAAAAAAGCACTAAAAACATAAAGGCATAAAACAAGAACAAGAGATGACTTGGACACATAAAAGATTACATTTATACTTTGAGCAGATTTTTTCACTGCATGCATAGTTTGAATTCCAAAGCACTATTCAAAATTCAAGGGAAATTTTTGTCTAATTTTGTATTTGAAACATGAGATAACTGTTATTTTAAATACAGTGTATTTAACTGTTTAAAATGATTAGTTATTTGAGGTATAAAATATATCTTGTTTTAATTCACCTTTCTTGGGCTGCAATTTTCAAATTGCAGAACTATGCATTTCCACTGTTGTCTGTCTTGTCTTTGTTAATCTTGAAAATTGAGACCAGATATGGAAAGCTTACAGCTTCATATATAGTTAATTGGAGCATCCAGCCCCAATTAATTATATATGAAGCTATGTCTTATGTCAGCATGTCATAATAAGTAATATGGATTTTTATATATAGAAGTAAATAAAAGTTAATTCCTAAATAAAATAAAACTAACCTAATACTATCATTTTTTGCTTTGAAGATTTGACTGTTTATCTCTCAATTAATATTAAATAGTTATTTTAGCTTTTCTGACATTTTATTTGTGTTTAATTTTTCTAAAAAAAAATAAATGTTTGCTCAAATGCAGAATATCTCTAATTTTATGTTGAGAGAGAACAATGTACCTGTACTGTACATATTTATATAATGTAATTGAAAAAATAAAAATTTAGTATACATTGTTAAGCATAGGAAAAATATTAAGTTTATTAAACATTCAACAAAAAATATCATTGATATTCTCCATTGTCTAAATATAAATTAATGAAATAAATTGCTAGATATTCTGAAATTGAAGATTCTACCATAAATATAGCAATCTCTCAAGAAATATTTTTATTTTGGAATTATCATTTTATCGTAAATGAATGAAATAAGTATTTTTAATTATTTCAAATTTTGAATTTTTTTCTATAGGATATAGTGTTAAATTTTATTACAGTGAAACATCTAAAATCCAGATTCAGCTCTTAAAAAATGAATATTAGCATTTTCAATGATAACTTCATTGTTGATGTTCTCTTGGCCTATATTCTTTATCTTTCGTTGTTGATATTCTAACTGTCTTCAGACTTTGTAATTTTTTTTTTTTTATTTTGAAATTATGATTAGTGTATTTTTTGTTTAATATAGTAATTCTATAAATTGTTTTGAATCTTTGTAAGTATTCCTATATTCCTTATGAAATATTGCTTGAACTTAGAACACCTAAACTTGAATTTCAGTGATTTTGTAGTTTACAGTACTTAAAATGCTAATTTACATATATTTATTTGAAAATCCAGATGGGATTTGGCCTAAATTAGTCTGGATTTTTGATATTTCACTGTATTTGCTTTTTCTATTGAAATACTTTAAAAATTTTGTAAGTACTTTATCAAAATATTTATTTAGAATATTTTTTGATGTACATTTTTTTTTCTCCCATTCAGTTTTATCAGCTGATAGAACAAGCCGAAAGATTTACGAAACTATTCAAGCTAATCATTTTTGTTTTCGTAGATTAAATGCTACTCATCAAATAGGATGCTCATGTGAGTTGACCTTTAATTTGTAAATAAATGAAATTTTACAATTTTTACATTAAGGATATTTTTAATCTTATATTAAGATGAATTTTAATATTAAGAAGAAAATAATAATTTAATAAAATGTATTAAATATTATAACTGACTTTTTTTCTTTAGCATTGTAATCTTTCAAAACATTTACAAATATTTAATGATTATTTTTGTGTTATTGTACTCATTTGCTCTTTCAGTTTACCTTTCAGAATGTTAACTTTGTATAAGATGTATATTTGTATAGATCTATACTTTGTATAGATCAGGAGTACCAAAACTTTTCTAGGGGAAGACCACATTACTAATTCTGACAACAGCAGTGGGCTTGAGTGATTTAATATATATATTAAATCACTCTAGCCCACTGCTGTTAATCATTTATAAAAATAATAATCATAAAAATCTTTATTAAAAATTAAGAAAATATATTGAACACACAAAATAATTACAAGTATCATTTATTTTGGAAGTACAGATAAGAAAACTTTATTTATAATAAGTTTTTTTTACCTGTACCTCCCATCCAAGTTTTGGGATTTTCTGAGAAAATGAGACCTCTGTCTTAAGTAAGTATGGTCCTGTTGTTATATTCTTCCTGGCTTCAGTTCAAATCATTTAATGCAAATAAAATATTTTTTAAATCATGATTTTTTTTAATTGTCTAGAAGCAATATGGGTCATAGTTTGGGAACCCCTAATAGATCATTCCTTGAGAGATTTATAATAGATTATATATTTTTTAACATTTTTAACTGTTTAACTTTTAGATCATATGTTGTAGAGTAATGGTAATATATAGATTACATAATATATTACTTTTATATATTCTTTTGCTTAAGAGAAATGATTTTTAATTCAGAAAATTATTTTTATTAGTGTTGTGTTCATTTTGATATTTATGAAAAGTACTTTGATGGAATGATTTTATTGATATAGTTAGATATCAAGCTGCAGAAACAGATAATGACAATGAATTTGTTTTAGAAGTTATAGAACTTAATGGTGTCAACAAAATCTATTGTGATGACAGAATGAAACCATTTGAAAGCAATGTACTATTCAATAAGTCTAATTATTGGGTCAATCTCCTTAACAGCATTGATAGAACCTTCTTATAGATTCTCTTAATCATAATTGTAATCTTCTCATAACAACAGGATAAAGAATTTTTTCTTTGAACATAAATTGATCCTTTATGACCAAGGATTTATAAATGTTACATATTGAAATAAACGTTTAAAAACAATGGAAAAACCCCATTGTACATTTGTTTTTCTTGTAATATATTGTGATGTAAAATAGTAAGATTATTTTAAATATTCAAACACATTGTATATTCTTATATATATGTGAAAAATAATAGAACATATAACATATGTAGAATTCACAAAGAGATGGTTTTGTTGTTGACTGAAGTAATCATTGCTTATTTTTCTTTAATATAATTGCTTTTTTTACAAATTAAGAACAACATTGTTAATATTAAATTTAACATCAAAGTTTTCATCTTGATAAAAATGTAACTAATCATTAGTTAACACATTTTATAAGAATGTGATCAATGTGAATTGGCTTCACATTTGATTCAGTTACTATTGTGAATATTAATATTAACTGAAATGAATGACATACAATATAGGTAAACTTCGTAATGTGTGCTGAAAATATTACATAATCACCAATAAATTTTATTGAAGTTATAATCCTGATTTGTGTTTAAAAGAAAGACAAGCCTAATAAATATTAGTATTGTGAGAATATGGTTGAATTGAATTTCTGAAAAATGTTAAGCTCAATGATTAAATTATTTAGCTATGGATTTGTTACTACAGTAGAACCTGATTAACTCAAACTGGGATAATTTGGTTACATTTACTCAGTCATTTCTTTACCTGATTGTCTAGCATAGGGATTTACATGTTAAATCAAACTGGTTAACTCAAATTTCATAAACTGTTTAACTCAAATAGGGTTTTGATACAGTATTTTTATAAACTCTCCAGAATTAGAATTTAAATAAAATAATTAACTTTTTTCTATCAAATAAACTAATTGTTAACTTTCTATAAAGTGTGGGACCTATATATGACTAAAAATAAACATTGTGTCATGTGATGGTGAATGTGGATGGTGGCTTCTGGTTATTTATGCTCTAATGAAAAATAATCTTATTGTCATTTAACAGAACGTACTCAGCAAATAATTATCAGATTATCGAAACACACCTTATGTTGCCGAAATAATTTATTGAAACTAACATTTTCGGCCTATATATTGTAGTTTTCAATAAATTATTTTGGCAACATAAGGGGTGTTTTGATAATCTGATAAACTTATTGTCCTTAAGTAAAACATGATAGCTGCATTTATCAATAATATGAATATCTCTCTCACTAGTCGCTTATTGAGGTAAGAACGCTCAGTAATTACAATGAACCATAGATTGATGCAGGTGGGAACATAAGCTTCCAGCAGGACCACTCTTGCCAGGAAGGTCAATGGTGAGAAATGAAGCAAAGAGTGATTCACAAGCAGTATCTGGTCTAGAGTGGGCAGTTTCTAAACAGCATCTGATCATCATGTTAGGGGCAGCTGATTTATAAACACTTTACTTTAGTATACAGGCACACCCACTTCTGTGGAGAAAACAAAAATGGTAGTTCCACATTCATAGCATGATACTGGCTCAGACATTGCCTGGTTAACAAGATCCATGTTCATGAGTTAAGCAGAGGCTTATGTTTCAAAAGTTTGCCACAGTCTCTCTTGGCCATCAGTAGCAAATGCAGTACAGGCCCAAGTATGGCTACTGCATCACAAACACATACACTGCCTTACATACAATGGACAACACATACCAACTGTAGGAAGTTTTTTTAAGAGAAAATCCCGCCAAGGGCAAGAGAAAAAAAAAGAGCGCACTAGTTGTTTTTGAGATGAAGAAGAAAGATGGTTGTCTAATTGTTGTAATTAATTGTTATAATTAATTTTGTTCAATAGTTTTTTACCATTGTCTTTACCTTATTCAAAACAGTAGTACACTCCATAAGTACAAGTCGTACATAATTGGTGCAGTCGACAAGATTAGCTGATGTCCCGCTACAAACCACGTCTACAAGAAATGAGCCAAATGAGTAAGGCGCGCGGACGAAGGTAGGAAGTCTTGAAGTTTAAGATTGAAGTTAAAAGTGTAAAATTTTGATTGTAACCAAAACAAAGTTATAGTAAAGCTTAAGAGCTAACTCTAGGAAGCAATAGCTTAAAGATTTGGCACTGATACTAGAAAAACTAAAGAGTTTACCCTTTTAAACTCATTAGGCTTTCACTGTACTGTTCCAAAACACTCACTGCCAATTTTAGTCGCTCAAGGTCATTTCACTTTTATTATTTAAAAAATTTGTGAAAAATCCAGCAATTATCATGTACATATGAAAAAATTCACGTATATACGTTACTTTTTGTTGTTTACTGTAGTAAAGTTTCTTTTCGCTAGCATAAAAAATTTCTTCCAAAAAAATATGTTGAAAATGACAGTTTGAATATTTTTATAATTTATACAACTCAATCATAGATAAAATTTTTCGATTATATAGTTCATTTCTGTGAGTAACCCTGCACCAGTAGCCATTTTGTTCTGTACATTTTGATTAAAGCAAACTCAAACAGTTTTTTTACACAAAGAAATTTCTTGCTTCAAAAAAATTATAAATACTTAAAATAAAATAAAAATAAAATGTCATTTGGTATTAAATATGTGNGATCATAGATAAAATTTTTTGATTATATATTTCATTTCCTTCAGTAACCCTGCACAAATGGCCATTTTGTTCTGTACATTTTGATTAAAACAAACTCAAACAGTTTTTTTACACAAAGAAATTTCTTGCTTCAAAAAAATTATAAATACTTAAAATAAAATAAAAATAAAATGTCATTTGGTATTAAATATGTGAAACAAGTGTACAGAATAACCTGTAGTAGTGTAATGCCATCTATGAATGGAATGTTTTATAAGAATCGTAAATTCTCAGGTTGACAATAAATCATCAAGTGATTTGTTTCAGTAATAAACTACTTGACGATATATCGACAAATGATTGCAAAAGATTTAATGAAACTAGCCAGGAAAAAAAGGAACAAGTCATGAATGAATCTCCTTCCAAACATCAAGATGTAAATCTAAGTCCTATCAGTATGATGCAAATGCTAATGGAAAAAGTAATATTATTAATAGATAACCAGCAACAGGCAGTGCAAAACTCAAAAGAGACAGTTATTGAAGTCCAAACTACCTGATTTGACGAGTTCTCTTCCTGAATTTAGTGGTACTACTACGGAGAATGTTGATGAATGGTTGAATTATATTGAATTGACTCAAAATCAACAGAGACTAGCTGAGACCCAAGTTCTTCCACTAGCTACAGCAAACTAAGAGGAGCAAAATACTGGCATAAAGCAATTGGTTACCAGCTTAACAATTGGACTGAATGGAAGACAAGTTTAAAAAGCAAATTTGGTAAAAGACTGATGGTGAGAATGTGGTGTGACAGATTGAAAGAAAGAGAATAAAGACGAGAGTCTCATCTCACAGATGAGATGAGACTCTCTATCTATGCTAAGCTGTGTTGCATACGAACTGTCCTGTAATGTTACCAAAGCTGACAAATTTGCTGGATGGAATAAAAAATAAACAACACACAGTTACTATTGCTACTCATGATGTGCACAGTATTGCAGTACAACAACATATAACATGCAAGATAGATGAGCAAGAGACTGATGCCAAGATGCATATGAAGACTCAATTTCAACAACTTCATAAGTTTCCAAATAATACTGTGAGATCTGGAATTTTATTATTCTAAAAATTTAAGTATTTCTACTTTTGTTATATAATGGATTGAAAAAAAAACTGATCTAGCTGGGAACATTTGAAACCCTCCTTTCATAACTGTCAACATTCTATTGTTCCCACACAGCCTGCAGCTTGACTTGCACAAAAGTTTATAATTAGCATCCAAATTTTGTCATTTGTTTTGGGTCCTGGGAACACCTATAACCTTTATCTCCTATAACAACTGACCACGTGACTGATTTTCCCAGCAAAAAGCTATAAAAGAGTCAACAAGGATATACTACTCAAATACCTTATAAACTGCAGCCAAATTTATTAACAATTTCAAAAACGTTTTCGGTCATCTTTAATGACCTTTATCAAAACGAATGAAGATCGAATGCTGACTGATTTGTATTAACGATAAATGCGCTTTTGAGTTCCAAAACGAATTATCAATCTTATTTTTAAGTCAGTCCGATCCCGAAGAAAGAAAAGATTATTTAAATACGAGGCCATAGATGAGACACCAACAGATCCTGAAGAATTGTTTAAAATAAACATCTTTTACTCTATGATCGATACAATTGAGAATGCATTGGTCACTCGATTTACACAACTATCCAAATTTAATGATACATCGTCCTTTTTATACAAAATCGAAACAACTCATGAAAAGTCAAAACTGGAAAAAGCCTGTGCAAATTTAGAAATAAGTTTAACCGATGGAGAAAAATGTAACATATCTGGTTGCGAATTGGTTGAGGAACTTTTACACCTGAATCCATTGTTGAAAGAGCTTGAATCATCAGAACAAATAAAAGTTCTTCAACTTATTTAACAAAATGATTGGTAGGATATATTCCTGAATGTGTGGAGAGCACTTCGAATTTTGCTGACCATACCTGTAACTGTCGCTAAAGGAGAATGAATTCTCAGTAAATTAAAACTTATTTACATTCAACCATGTGTCGGGATAGACTGTCATATCTAGCAATTTTATCTATCAAAAATACTATTGCCTAGGAATTAAATTATTCTGAATTAATAACAACATTTGCAAGCGCAAAAGCGAGGAAGGTGGCAATGTAGGCTTTTTATTTTATTTTCTTTCTTAATTTGTTTCAATTTTAAATTAATTTACAATGTAAATTTGTCTTTGCGTGATGTGAGCGTTGTCTGTGTCATAGCAGTTTAAATAAATATTATTATGAATATTGACTTGTGAAAGAAATATTATTTTTTTTCCCCACTGTTATTGTTCCTCATCCATACTAGTACTATGCTATAGATTTTACACAAGAGTGAGCAGGGTTTTGAGAATATAAAACATGATCCTGAAATGTGTGCTATATCTCTATAATCTAAAATGAAGAGATTCCATCGACAGAAGGGGGAAACATCAACAGCTTGCGATACGTCTGAATTAAGAAGGGTCAAGTTAACTCTCCATTTACTGTTGTTATAGTTTCTCATCCATAGTATTATTAATAGTATTACTATACTACTCTTACGGAGGTCTTAGTTATTAATAATGTGAAAAATGTACATTATCAGTTTAGTCTCTACAAGAGGTGCCACAATGAGATCTCGCACCACCTGAAAACCTGGCTAGGGCCGCCACTGAGTACACATACAGGAATACAGTGACACTCTCAAATAAAAACTAGCAGCCAAGTTGTAAAGTCTGAAATGATACAAAGCTATACATTATGAAAACAACAAAATAAATTATTCACAAACAATAAGGCACTTTGTTATAGATATCTACATATCAAACCCATCACACAATCACAGCACAGTGGCAGACCAACAGAAAAACAACTCAGACTATTGGTTGCTCTTTGGTCCAATTCAGTTGCAAAGATGAAGCAAGCTGGATCAAAGAGGAAGAAGAAAACATGCATGAGACTCCAATTATGCCTTGTGTTGAAATAAGCATAATTGACATCCAACATGCAGTATAAAGAACATACATCTGGTCAAAATTTCTTACACAGGGACCCAAAAATGACAACACCAAAGAGCAGTTATCTGCATACTCATTCATATTTGCATTGTGTAATTTATGGACACATCTATGTTTAAAAAAAACAAAAAATAACTTAAAATTAATCATGTTGATTGGCTATGCCAGAGATGGATTTTAGGAAAGAAATTATAGAATATAAAAATTAAAAAACTGTTAAAAAATTTAAAAAGTAAATTTTAGAAGATAAAATAGAACTGCACTGTAATGAAACTGGATGCTCTGCCATTATTATCATTGTAACAATAATTATCTTCATCTCAAACGACTATAAACACAAAAGTAATTAAGAAAGTATTTAATAAATATAAAACTATTATCAAAATACAAGGGCAGTTTTTATTCAACCTACAATGGTCCATAAAATAAAGACAAGTGTAAATAACAAAATGAATTTTTTACCAAAAGTTAGGTACAAACATGTACTTTTCGATATAATCACCATGAAGATTGAGGAATTTGTCATGTCTGTGGACAAGTTTTGCAATCCCCTTTTCATAGAATGTTGCTGCCAGTGATTGTAATGTGCCTTAATGTTGTTTTGAAGATTGGCATTAGTTTTGATTCTCTGCCCTCTTAGCCACGTTTTCAGTTCAGGAAAAAGGTGGAAATCACTCTGTGCTAAATAGGGGTTATATGCTGGGTGTTTAAAAAGTTCCAAGCTAGGTTGAAGTCTTCACACATTAAAGGTGTGAAGACGTCCACCTCTTTCCTGAACTGCAAATGTGGCTAGGAGGGCAGAGATTCAAGACTAATGATGATCTTCAAAACAATGTTAAGGCCCATTTCAAGTCACTGATGGCAACATTCTATGAAGAGGGTATAGCAAAGCTTGTCCGCAGATATGACAAATGCTTCAATCTTCACAGTGATTACTTCAAAAATTAACCATGTTTGTACCTAACTTTTGGTAATAAATTCATTTTGTTATTTACACTTGTCTTTGTTTTATGGACCATTGGAGGTTGAAAAAAAAACAGTCTATGTATATACATATTATGGTAAACTTTTAACTCAAAATGTGCTGTAAGTACTTGAAATCATTGATAAATCTTTGAAGCATGAGACAAGTGGTGGGCACTTCTAGTTTGCTGGAGTGCTGTATTAGACTTGTATGATTGACAGAATATACATCACATATCATAGATAAAACTCTGACTCTGATTAGCTATATATGACATTTTTTGATGCTTATTTCTTTATATGTATATATAAATTATAAAATTTGAATGAAATCTTGTTAGAGCCCAATAATAAACCTTTCACTGGCCAGTGCTGGTCCATGGACCATAGTTTGAGTACCACTGGTATACATTCTGTCAATATTTGATATAAGCTTTTCACTTATAACTAGATTTTAGTAAGAATTTAAGAATTGTGTTTTTGAAATAATATAAGTAAAAAATGGAACTAAAAATATTTTTGCACATTGTTGTCACAATATATCAGGTTTAGATAAAATATAGAAAATATGCATTCCAACTCCTGATACCCATAATGTTAGGCTTTATTATTTCTATTTTAAGGAAGTAATGCTTTTGTGATTTCATGTGAATCATTTCAAACAATATCTATCAGTAACAACTTGAAATTTCATATAAAAGTGTCAATTTAAACATGAATAAATAAATGTATATGCTTACTATTTTGGTTAGCAATTATAGTCAGTTTAAGTAAAACATGAGTTTTACTTAGCAATTATAGTCAGTTTAAGTAAAACATGAGTTTTACTTAAACTGACTATAATTGCTACAGTTAAGTAAAGTAAAACTACAGTTTAAGTAAAACTTGTGTTTTACTTAAACTGTAGACTATTATTGTATCATCCTTCTTGTACATGTATTTAGGTAGAATGTTCCTATGTAACATGGAAGCCTAATGTTCAGAAATTTCAATTTAACTATGTGTTATCTTACTATGATAAATTGGAATCTAAAGTTTCAGATGTTAGATTACTGTCAATCTTTGGGACAGTCACCTTATTATCATTCACTTTTAAACTTTATTAAAATGATATATATACAGATTGAAAATGGATTTATTATTATTATAGCTGGAAGAAGTGGAAATGTAGGAGTTGTACATTTGGTTGAAGAAATTGAGGATGTAGAATGGATTACCAAAACAGGACCATATCCTCCATATGTAGCAGTTCTTTCTATGCCTTTTTTCAATATGTAAGGATATAATTTTAAAAATTAAATTTATACTAATATTAAATAAAAATAACTTAAAACAAAAATATTTATCATAACTTCAAATCTTTATTTACCAACAGCATTGAAATTTATTGGTAAATAAATATTTGAAGTTATGATAAGAATTTTTGTTTTAATTAATAAAATTTATATTTATTAAAGCTTCAAATGTGTATTTATCAATAAATTTCAACATTATTTTGCAAAGTTCCCTACAGCATGTAGATATGTACTGTACTGTATGGGTATCCACTAGTGATGGGACGATACCAAAATTTCTCCAGATTCTGATTTTTTTTAATACTTTCTAAAGTTTATTTTAGTTTAGAAAAATTAATGATTTACATTAAGAACACTGTAAATTAATTAATTTATAAACATCAAGCTTAAGAATAGAAAATGACTGGGAAATCTAGTATCAATCTTTTGAAAGAAACCCAAAATTTCTTCATTTATATGCTTATGTGTATCAATTAGATTTTTGGAAGATTCATTATCTAATAGCTTATGTAATTTTGTAGAAATTAATTGTATACTCTTCTCTATAGGATGATTAATGAAGATGTTGATTACTCTTTATACACAGCCTACAATATAGTCTCTGTGTCACTTCATACTGAGTTTGGCTTTTTCATTGTCAGCCAAGTATTGTTTAAGTTCTTCAAGAATGGTATGAGGATCAGTTTTACTGTAAAGTTGTACTTGTTTGTGCAGCTATTGTCAGATGGGCAGTTGCCTTGGGAAGGGAATTTAAGAAGGAAATAGTAGTCACTGACCTCAATATTGTCCAGTATTCTGTTCTTTAACTTGACAAACACAATTCCTATTAGATAATCCTGTTGTCTGAAGGTCCACAACATGTAATTCACAATTAAAGTCACAAATAATCTAACTATAGAAACAGTTTTAACCATTATAAATGATCGCTATAAGCTTAATGGCCATTATAACAGTTAAAGGCACAAGCAGTCAATGCTATAAGAATACCAATTTTTTAAAATTGACCTTACTTTTTAAACATTTGGTCCACTCCAGCACATGTCATGTCATTCAACTCTACCCGCCAAGACAAATCCAATGGTACCAATATTAATGGGATCAGTAAAGATTTCACAGAAAAATTGCAATTTTTCCAGGAGCAAGATTACACCACACAGATCTAGTCTCATAACAATTACAATGAGAACAAAGGCAATCAAATACAAAAATTGTGTCTTAAATAGTTTGAATCTTCTTGTTACACCTAACATATGAAGCAGACATGAAAATGGGTAAAAAATGTTTAAGTAAATTAAAGTGTTGCTGAAAAAGTATTTAAATTCGTGTTTTATCATTATAAGTAAACATACTAAATATAAAAAATAATTTTATATAATACAGTAGAGCCTCCATTATCCGGATTTTCGATTATCCGGATTGTTCAAAATAACAAAAATTTTACAAAATTTGCTGATTTGCACTTGGTGAATTATGACAGTGTTTATGTATGTGATGGAATGCATAACTTTTTTTGTTTCAACAACGTCTCACCCAGCACAGTGGTCGTAAACTCTTAAATATATTTTACGTAGTAATAAAAATGTAACTTGACATATGTATTTATAAATAATTTATATTCAAATTACATCATTTCTATGACCAAGGGCGGCGTAAGGCATGGACGACATGGGCCACCGCCTATGCCTCGCTGTCCGAAGGGCCTCGCGCCTTGAAGGTTTATGCATTACTTAAGAGCCATGAACGTGACGAAAAAATTTTACTCGTCATAAAACGATAAATAGTTTGTCAAATTTTTATTCATAAAAATGTAGTTTCAACTGCTTTTTATTTTATAAAATCCGTCTTCTTGCACCACCAGAGGGCCTTTTAAACAATAGGTAGTCTGTTAGCATTGGTCAGTAGTAGTCCAAATTCAATACGCATGTTTGTTTCTTGAAAATTTGATTACGATTTAAATACAGTATTTACTTTTAATATTACCGATATGTCATCGAAAAGAAAACGTGTTGTATTATCATTAAAAGACAAATTAAAGTATTTGTTTCGATTATCCGGATTTTTCCTTATCCGGACTACCTTCATCCCCAATTAGTCCGGATAATTGAGGTTCTACTGTATTTTTCTATTAAGATATAATTTTCTTTATATTTTAAACTGTTTTACTGACACTTAAATATTTTTGTTGACCACCAGCCTTGATTTGAAATTCACAGCCAAGCTGACTAATCTGGCTGAATGACAACTCTGGCAACTCTAATGTTATCTGATCTCCCATAAAATGGGGACTGTACGTACCGACAGAGTGCAATATCTCATTGCTCCAACTACATAAAAGAATAGTTCGTTATGACAGACATTATCTCGTATATGGGACATCTCTTACTCTCTGCTTCATCAACATGAAATTTCCAATAAACTAAAATATTTAATTGTCACTATCGTAATTCTAAACATTTTTAATCTTCAACTGAAACAAATAATCAATTTTCTTATAAAATGTGGAAGAATTATTTTTAAGAATTAGAAATAGTGATGAGATTTGCTTAATTCTGATTCCGATATCCGGAAAATGTTTGGTTTTTCTGATTCCCAGTTCTGATTCTGATTAATTGTCCCATCTCTAGTATGCATTGCTTTATGAAAGTTTGCTTAATGTTACTTTGCTTTTATGAAATTTCCTATATTAATTTCTATTTTCAATGACAGAAATTTGAAGAGGATTCCATTTTTATGAAAAAAAGATAAAAAACGAAAACAGTATTTAGCTTGTGTTTTGTAGTAAGCCATTTTAGAGAGATTGCTACTTGGAATGTACAAACAGTAAGAAGAGTCTCCAAGCTTTGAATTGTGTCTGTGAACATCAATGCTTTTTTATGTTGATTTATTTTATGCATCTGTTAGCAAAAACAAAGTGAAAAAATGGAAAGCCTATTGCTTTAGCAGGTTGATGGGTGTACAAAGGTAGTGTTCTGTTATCTTTACTTAAGAGGAAATCAGCTGCTCTTTTCAATAAGCTGAAACAGAAAGAATGAATGGTATGAAAGTGGAATTTAAAAGTAGCCATGGGTGGTTTGATCAGTTTTGAAATAGGGCAGTTTTATAAGGTGACTGCCTGGAGAGAGTACTTCTGTTCTGATTTAGTTTTGTTAACTACACTGTACTTATGTTTTTATTTTATATAGGCTGTATACTTATCATATTACTCTTGCTTTTACTAATGTGCTATTTGGTATGATTTAGTTAGTTTTGAGTGTGGGAACATTCAAAAATTTTTCACATATAAATTAACAATAATTGCTTCTTCTCTTTATTCTATTTCAGCTTACAAAAGGTTTTACGGAAATTTTCGGATAGTAGGGAACCTGTATACTGTTTTTTAAATTTATGCTACTATTATTATATTTCTCTTAACTTTTTAAAAAATTACTTTTTATCAGAATGCAGACTGAATTCTTTGAAATTTTACATTCAAAGAATTTTAGAAATTTTTAATAGATTATAGAATATTAAGCTTTCAATTTTATATCAATATTAAAGCAATTTATTACAGAATATTTCTCTTATTTTTAGGGCTAATATGACTAATTTTCAATCATCAAAGAGAGTCTCAGGAGTAATGATATTAAAACCAGAAGATGAAGAAATACCTTCTGAATTTTCAACTGATCGTTCTTGCCCAAATGAATATTTTGGTAAAATATAGTTTCTTTCAAAATATCTATATACTTTTTAAGTATATAGATATTTATCTAATTACAGTTCTAAATAATTTGATTAACTAGTGTGACTAAATTTTTCACATAATTATTTATGGTTGGTTATTTTTTTTAATTAAATATTAAAGTTTGGTTTTTTATTAATTAGAACAGATTTTTTCTATATGGAAAATTATATCATTTATCTTGTAAAACAATGAAAATTTGCATGTTTAGTCAAGATTAAATTTATATTATTTTATTCAATTTGAAACTTATTTAATATTGTGTTTTTGTACAGTACTAGTTTTTCTGGAATTGATTAAATTTTATTTAAGATTTGAATTTATTTATTAATACTTATAGTAGTACATCTTTTAAACAGCATCAGAGTTATATCATTATTTTTAAGTTTTTTCGTTCATTTATTTATATATTACTAATTTGTAATTATGACTGAAAAAGTATTCCTGGAGTATGTGATCAAATATTATGTGTTTTGATCTATTCAGTCATTTGCCAAGTTCTTTTTTGTATTATTCAAAATTTTTTATATAAAATACTGTAGTTTAAAATGATGTAATATTTTGTGTTTTATTTTAGTCTACAAAAATCATACACACAATAGAAAATTCAATTAGTTTAACAGTTTAATTAAAATTTAATATTTTTGCTTTAAACAGTAATTTATTTAAAATATCTAATAGCAATAAATAATAGGAAAAATGAAGTAAATGTGTGATGAATTGAATTATAAATTATTTTGAGTCAAATATAGTTCTCAGTTGTATTATTTTGATTACTTACAATTTGCATTCAGCTTTTCATTATTTATACTCGTACTCTTTATTTTAATTTGTTTTCAATTCTTTTCCTGTATTTTATAAATTTTAAATGAATGTTATGCAAAACTTGTGAGTACTTAAACACATTGAAATAAATTCTTTAAAAATTTCATTATAGCTAATAATATATTGAAATTCTCTTTTACAATTTGATTATTTTATTTTATTTAATACATTTTAAAAACATGTATTTTTATTTATTTATATATTAGGATTATATTATGATGATCCAAGTTATGCTGGATGTAAGAAAGTAACATGGAATCTACCTAATCCAGTACAGGATATTATGTATAAAGATTGGAATATACCAATATTTCTCATAACTAAGAATAATAGCATAAGTAAAATTAAAAATGATGTAAGAAACTTTTTCAATATGTAATAAATTTTTGGTTAAAATTATTTAAAGATGTATACAGTCAAATATCATTAATTTGAACTTCCTTAAGTTGATTTAGTGGCTAAAATGAATCTGTTGTTATTCATCATAAAACTCAAACTTAAATTAGTATTAAAAAATATGATTCAAATTGTTTTTACTATAAATTTGGATAATTCAAAGCTGGTACAGCTCACATTTTGAAAATGAAATTTGTAGAAAGAAAATAAAAAGAAGTCAATTGATTTACAGAATGAGTATATTTGGGAATTTCATGAAATACATATGTTTTGTAAACTCTTTAGTTGTAGGCAAAATTGTCACTTATTTCACAATTTTAGTGAAATTTGATTCTAAATAGTTATTTTTATAATATCTAAGATGAAATGTATACAAATTTTCTGTAGGTAAAAAGTTGGTTAAATAAATGGAAAAGAAAGGAAAGAGAAAATATGATGTTATCAAAGAATACATAATACTGCCAAATACTGGAAAATTGCAGAGTTTTTCAGATGTTCAAAATAAGATTTGATTGTATATTATATTTATCTTAATTGGAATATTACACTTTTTAACATAAGAACATTTTGCAACAAAAATTTTATTTTTTTCTTAATATTACACTAGAAACATTAAGTTAATTTTTTTAATGATATATTCAATTAAATTTAAATAGAGTTTGAATATACAAAATATGTATATGCAATACATATATCTGTGAAATTGAAACAAATCTTAATTATTACAATAGAATTAATGGCTAAATAACAGGTAAATTTTTAAAATATACAGTACAGCATCATTTATCCGAAAGTTGATCAACTGAAATGTCAGTTAACCAAAAGCATTCCAGTCGGACTGTGTCATGCTAAATCGAACGTTTTTGATACTAGATTAACTTCTAAAGTATAATTTTTTTTTTGTTTTTATATTTTTCAATATATTTATTTTGTTTGTACAAAGTAAAGAAATAATTTTTAACAATACAATAGCCATGATTATTATTATAAAAATTTTTGTTAGGCTTAACATTGATGAAAATTCAATGCGAGCAACACGCAACAGAGAAAAATTTTAATGTGGGATATATTAATATACTATTATTGGGATATACTAATATAATAATTACATGGGATATTAATAATGTATTTTTTTTGTATATAATCGGTTATCCGAAAAATAAGTTATCCAAACAACCCCAGTCCCCAATTGATTCCAATAAATGACGCTCTACTGTATATATATTTTTTTAATGTGGTTAATTTAGATTAAAATGTAGTATTAAATGAAGGTATTAAATATTAAAATAATTGAAATTTAATATTATTGATTGATAAATAAAACAAAATGAAGCAATATAATAAAAATTTTTGTTGTTTGATAGGCATTTGTACCTTTCATACATAAAATATAGGAGATTACCAAAAGTATTATTTTTCATTTTTGTTTATTTTATAATTACATGCACAGTGAAGTAAAGTAGAAAAACAATATTTTAATGTTTGAAATGATACTTTCTAATCTGCATATCAGAGTCATGATTTCAACAAGTGCTTTGTTTAGATGCATGCTATACTTTGGGATGGGCATGCAAATATTTTATTTACATTCTAGCAATTTTCTGTGAGATAAACTCTGCTACAGATTATGTGCATAATTATATAGTACATTGATAAAGGATAATACAGTATCAATGGATCTTTGATAATAGTCATTTAGCTGCATTTAAGTCAGTCAGCATGACATAAATGTATTAGTCAAAAATAAATAAAACTTTTCACACAGGTTTTATTACATAACATAGAAACTTTTATACCAAACTACTTTTAAAATAAGCTACTATAGCTACAATCTTCTTGTGTGTCCATTCCATTTGTCAAAGCAATCTTTTTGGCCTTGCGTTATTGCAGTTTCAATCTCTGCTGCTGATTGAAACCTGCAACTCTTCAACTTCACTTTCATCTTTAAAAATAAATAAGTGTTTCAGGGACAAGATCAAAGAATGAAAAGCTTGAAGCATTGCTATGTTCTTTTTGGTTGTGTATTCATTAAACTAACTAGGAAACCAGTGGAAGCAGAATGTGAAAGCTGCAGTGATGAAAGCCTTTTTTCTGTACTGTCTTTAAAGACATCACAATAAAAGCTATAACAAGCTATATGGATTCTAACAGGAATGCATAACTGCAGGAGAAGCTTATTTTGAAGAGGTCATTTATAAATATTTGTACTGTTAAAAATTCAGTTTATTTTTGACTCTACCTTGTATATCAAGATGTGCAAAAATCAAATAGCATAGTCCATACTGGACTGTTCATATTTAGTTATTGATTGTAATCTTTGTGGGCTATAATATTTTTAATTATTTATAATATGAGAAAAAGCTTGTCTGACTATGTTTTACATTAAACAAAATGATCAACTACATTATACTATTAAACATTGAAATATTCCCTAATTATTTTTGAATAATATGTATTCAAATTCTAAACTTTGTTTCGCACGTTATTTGAGTATTTATCATTATTAATTTACTGTTCTCACTTGAAAATTTTTACTTATTTTTAATTAGTGCTTTAATAATTTCAACAAAGCTAAAAACGGTGTTGTACGCACATGGCCATTATGTTCAGCTCAATTGAAATCTGTAATGCTTGCTGCTAAGGATACACCAACTTGTATGAGACGTAGTAGTATAATTACTAATCTTAATCCAGGTAAATTCTTAACTATTTTATAATTTTTTTATTAAATTAAAAATTAAAATAATTTTAAAGCATAAAGTGAAATTTTTGCATTATTTAATAAATAAAATTGCTTCTTATGATAAAATTATAAATTTTTTAGTTTAAATTTTCAGATTATTAATATATATATTTGTAGAATAATGTTTAAGAAATATTGTGATCATGAAATAATAGACATCAGTATTGTATTTTCGTTTGCAATATTTTTTTCTCTATTTCATTTAAATATAAATTTAAATCAGTTATGGAGGAAGCTTTATAATGTAAGAGAATGAATAATGAAAATAAATTTCTAGTAACTTCAATATATTTTAAAAATTAATTTTTCTCGGTCTTATCTGTGTTCAATAAGTAACTGTTTCTTGGTTTCTGAAAATGTAATTTGTTTTCTGCTTAAGTTATAAATAGCAGAAAACAAATTAACATTTTCATATAATTAAAAAAAATGGTTTTTAATACAAAGAATATTTAACAGTATTATGGAGCTTTTAATCTGTTAAAAAATATACAGACTTGTATGTTCTTTAATATGTTAAATGTGTCATTCAATTAAATAAGGGACTATAAATTTGTTTTTATAGGCATATTATTGTTAATTTTTTATTATAAAAGGAATATGCATACATACTGAAAATTTTTTAATTTTTATTAAAAATTTTTTGGTATGTATATGTTTAATGTGTATATTACAGGAACCTATTATATTTAAAAGAGGAATTAAGTTCTATTATTTTATCTATTTTTTATTGTCTACATAATACAGTATATACAAGTATTAGAATATTTATTAAAAACTGAGTAAATTTATAATGATTATGTTTTAATTAAATATCTAGTTTAAAAATTTATATTTATATAAATCTACAGATTTATATAATAAGAGAGATTTATTCTTAATTTTTGTTAAAATATTAAGTTTATTATGCTATGTATTATATAAATCAGGGGTCGCCAAACTTTTTTAACCATCGACCCCCAATCACTTTCCAAAGCCTCACATCGACCTCCACCGTAAAGTTTTATTACATGTGTATATGTATGAGCGAAAAAAAAAACGCTGTGGTCTCTGTCTAAGAAGAAAAAAAAAACAAAAAACAAAAAAAAAAAGGTTGTGATCCCTTAGCCGCATCGAACCCTGGGGGTCCATATCGACCACTTTGGCGACCCCTGATATAAATTAATTAAATTAAAATTTAAAAATATTAATTGTACATAAGATATAAAATAAATTTGAAAATATTAAATTTCTTTAGTTATAATTAAATTTTTCTTGATACAAACAACTTTCCTTTAGGGTTTCAAGCTGCATTGATTCTTCACTAATTTTAATTACTCCATATTATTGCTTGACATTTCAACTTGAATAAAGACCATGGATCTTGAATAGGCCTAGTGATTAAGTTTTCTAAAATTATATATAGAAATGTGAAAACTCTATTAAAATTAATTTTTCTCGGTCTTATTCATCTTCAATATAATTTTTATTAATAACTGATTGAGAAAACCATTGGATATTTCATCGATCAATTTTGCCTGATATTATTCTGTTTATTGAATCTATTTTTGATCACTTTGGAGTATAAAATAAGCAGTTTATTATTTTGGATTCTGTTGTCTTCAGATTCTTTAATTTGTGTTATTTTCTTTTAATATATTGCATATGTAATTAAGTGGAAATTTGTTTCGATATTGTAGATTCTGAGGATATATAGGAACAAAATATCATTTAATACAAAATAATAATAACTATAAAACTTAAATTATTATGGTTTTATTCTATTAAATCAAGCTTTAAAAATTTAAACTGGTTTAAACAAATTTAAAATTCACTTGGTATCTGGCAACTGTGACTGTTCAAGAACATCTTTCTTTTGGACAATCATACAGTTGGTTTATTGTGCAAATGATTCTGACCAACCTGTATAAATCAGTGATTTGTAGAATTTTGATTTATGTTTTCCAGAGATATGGAATATTTAAATAAGAGAAAGAAAAATAAATCAATAAATTGAAAAATTTTATTGCATCAATTGTAATATCATACTTTGCTCATTAGATTTAATATTAGCATAGATAAATTTTTGGTAATTCATTGTTCTGTAAAAATTTATGAAATTTTATTTCAATAATTATCAAGTAATTATTTATTGTGACATTGTCACAATGCCAGGCTTCAACTTTTAATCATATTCTTAACTTATTCAATTTAAAATATATGTTCTCCATCTCAAATTAGTAATGGCTTGTCTCTATACATCATACTTTTCCTGATAACAACTGTGTTATGCCAATCATCTATGGAACTCCATTCAGGGGAAATTTTTTGGAATTGAGTTCACATGACTTCTGGTCTAGACTGAAAGTTCATATATAGTTATCAGGGCCTCCTATCCCTAAGCTTTCCATATCTGGTGTCAACTTTCATTCATCTAACACTGTTCTCAAGATTAAGGAAGGACAGATAGACGGACAATAGTGGGAATTTATAGGTCTACAATTTTTAATTTAAAACAGTTGAAAAGATAAAGTAATTTCTATTATATTCAAATTCATTATTATATATTATATCCAAAATCATATTAATCTGCTTTCAATGTTGTTTGAATGTAAGATTATTATTAATTTTTTGTAAAATATCATTTACTTAAAAATCTAAATTAATTAGAATGTAATCTCTACAAATACTATAATAACTTAGTGTTATAAAATTTGACGATGATGATAAACTGAACTGTTAATAGTCAGATTTGATTGTTTTACATTTTTTATTAAAATGTTATATTGAATATATAACACTCATAATTAATGATGATATATAAATTTAGTCTCCTCTTCTCATTTTTTTAAACTGTTTTCAAATATTGATTGATTAGTCATAATGGATGGGACAAATAGTCCTTTAATAAATTGTTATTGACTATAAATCACTGGTCTGTTGCTTAAACAACTATTATTTTATATTTAATTTTTATTGAAAATGTCTCATTTGACTTAATAAAATTTAGTGCATTAATTTTATGCATCTCTATTATAGCAAAATTATGTGATCCATTGGGAAGTTACAATATTCATACTATGCTTTTTCCTGAATCATCAAATATTACTAATCGTTCACTTATTATAGTTGGAGCAAGAGTAAGTAAAAATTTTTAAATCAAAATTTAAATTAATAATGAAATTTCAGATTTATTGATTTTTTTTGTATTTTTTTAAACAAAATAATAATGAAAATCAACTTTTATTTAAATATTATAGAACTGAAGTATAAAACTTTGCAAAAATATTTTAGAATATAAAATTATGAATAAAAATTAATGGTTATTATTACTAGTTTTTTAGAAATTCCTTATTGATTATTAATATTTATTAAATTTATATAATTATATAATGTACATTTTTATAGATAAATCTATGATGATGATAATTAAAATAGTCTCTATAAAATATTCCTATTTTATAATTTGTTTATTTGTGGAATTTTTATTTTTAGTTAGATGCTTTTTCTCTGTTTGACAATTTGGCACCAGGCGGACATACAGCAGTAACTGGCTTAGTTACACTTATTTCAATTGCTCACACACTAACAAAATTAAAAGAATATCTGAAATCAGAGAATCTTGATAAAAATATTTTATTTACAATATTTAATGGGGTAAGATAAAATAGATAATATATTTTAATTGGATAAACACAAGGAACAATTTGAATGCTTATTACTCTTTTCTAGGAAGCATTTGATTATATTGGATCAAGTAGAATGGTTTATGATATGCAAAAAGGAGATTTTCCACCAAAAAGTAAAAATCAAATTTCATTTTCTCTGGAGCACATTTCACATTTCATAGAAATCAGTCAGTTATCTTCTTCAAGTGAAGTTTGGTTGCATACTGATCCAATTTCAACTGGGAAATCTGAAGAAGTCAATTCAACAGTAAGAATGATTATATCATTATCATAAACTTTGAATTAAAATTATTTTTAATGTTATTTTATTGAATTGAAATATTAAAATTATTACATCAGAAAACAGTAACATTTAAATCATAATAACTCAAAGTCATTATGATTTAAATGTTACTGTTTTCTGATGTAATAATTTTAATATTTCAATAACGGAAAGTCATTATGATTTCTTTCTTGATTCATTGTGTTTAATTGTAATGAGATAAGTAATTTATTATTATTATTATACAGTATTTAGTGGATTATACTTAGTTGATACCGGTAGCTGTGTACTATGCCGGACCACAGTCAAGGCATAGCAACCAAAAACAAAAATTAAATAAGTGTGTCAGTGTCTGTATTCAGGAATTTCCTAACAATATGGCATGTATTCAATATAGTGGCCTTCTGTAGTGTGATGTATGTATTTCTATTCAATTGTGATGCTCCCAGGCTTTTGTGTAGTGTGTGTGGTATCACACCTGTACAGGAGAGAACGACAGGTACAATAAGCACCCTTTCCATCCTCCACAGATGCCTTATTTCCTGGGCGAGTTCTGTGTACTTGCTAATTTTTTCAGTGCATGTTTTTTGTACATTGTGAGTGTTTGGAATGGCTATGTCTATAATGTATGTGATTTTATTGTGTTTGTCAATGAGTGTGATGTCTGGTCTGTTGTGGTAAATTGTTTTATCTGTGATTATGGCTCTGTCATAGTACATTTTGTGTGTGTTGTTTTCCAATACTGTCTGTGGAATGTATTTGTAGTATGGTTCATGAATGTCTACCAGTTTGTGTTTCTTTGCAAGCTCTTGGTGTATTATATTTGCTAATTGATTATGTGTATGTAAATAATAATAATTATTATTATTTTACCATTTACCAACATTACCATATTATTACAGTATGAGCGTTGATTATCCTAATGTTGATCAACTGAAACATCAGTTAACCGAAAGCATTCCAGTTGGACTGTGTCATACTGAATCAAATGTTTTTGATACTAGATTAACTTCTAAAGTATAATTTTTTTGTTTTTATATTTTTCAATATATTTATTTTGTTTTTTAACAACACAATAGCCACAATTATTATTATAAAAATTTTTATTAGACTTAACATTGACAAAAATCCAATGCGAAGTGACATGCAATGGAGAAAAATTTAAACATGGGATATATTAATATACTATTATTGGAATATACTAATATACCATATTAATAATGTATTTTTTCATACATAATCAGTTATCTGAACAACCCCAGTCTCTAATAGATTCAGATAATCAACACTCTTCTATATTATTATTATGTTGGGTTTTGTGAGTTATACTCGGTTCACACCGGTGGCTGTGTACTATGCCGGACCAGAGTCAAGGCATAGCAACCAAAACAAAACTAAAGTTAAATAAGTGTCAGTGTGTGTGTCTGTATTCAGGAATTTCCTAACAATGTGGCATGTATTCAATATAGTGGCCTTCTGTAGTGTGATGTATGTATTTCTACTCAATTCTAATGTTCCCAGGCTTTTGTGTAGTGTGTGTGGTATCACACCTGTACAGGAGAGAACAACAGGTACAATAAGCACCCTATCCATCCTCCACAGATGCCTTATTTCCTGGGCGAGTTCTGTGTACTTGCTAATTTTTTCAGTGCATGTGTTTTGTACATTGTGAGTGTTTGGAATGGCTATGTCTATAATGTATGTGATTTTATTGTGTTTGTCAATGAGTGTGATGTCTGGTCTGTTGTGGTAAATTGTTTTATCTGTGATTATGGCTCTGTCGTAGTACATTTTGTGCGTGTTGTTTTCCAATACTGTCTGTGGAATATACTTGTAGTATGGTTCGTGGATGTCTGCCAATTTGTGTTTCTTTGCAAGCTCTTGGTGTATTATATTTGCTACTTGATTGTGTCTATGTAAGTAATCTGTCTGTGCCAAGAGCTTGCAACCAGAAGTGATGTGTTGTATAGTTTCTGGCATGATGTGACATTTTCTGCATGTGTCATTTGTGAGTGTTGTATCTTTGAGTATGTGTTTTCTGTAGTTTTTAGTATTTATGACCTGATCCTGTATGGCAATCATGAATCCTTCCGTCTCCCCAAAGAGGCATCCCCGATCTAACCAGCTGTTTGACGCAGTTTTGTCAACAAAATCCTGGGCCAGGTCATAAGGATGCCTGCCATGGAGTGCCTTTCGAGCCCACGATTGCTTGATGGTGTCTATGCTTTTTATGTGTTGTGTCATGTCTGTATGATGTGAGTGTAAGTTTAATGGTGTGTTATTTGAGTCTGCTAGAGTTACTGCTTTATGTAACTGTGATGTTTCTTGTTTCTTGTAGAAAAACTCTCGCAGTGACTGTATTTGTTTGTAGTGAAGGTTAACTATGTCAATCAGGCCACGTCCGCCTTCTTTACGTGGAAGGGTTAATCTTTCTGTGGCGGATTTAGGATGATGTTGTTTATGCTTAGTAAGTGTTGTTCTTGTTTTCCTTTGGAGTTGCTCGAGATCTGTGTGAGTCCAATGTATAACTCCAAAAGAGTATGTGAGTACTGGGATGACATATGTGTTTATTGCTTTAACTGTGTGTTTTGCATTTAACTGTGTTCTAAGTATAGCGTTTAACCTACTTTGGTATTCTTTAATTAATCGTTGCTTTATTTGTGTATGTTCTGTTAGTTTGGCCTGTTGGAATCCTAAGTACTTGTAGAACTCGCCCTCTTCCATGGATTCAATAACGTCTCCATTTCCAAGTGCAAAATCTTCTTTCTTCAGGATTCCTTTTTCTATGTGAAGTTTTTTGCATTTGTCTAGGCCAAACTCCATTTGTATGTCCTTAGTGTATGAATGTGTGATTTGTAGGAGTTGATGAAGTTGTTTTTGTGTGGATGCATAAAGTTTTATGTCGTCCATGTACATGAGATGTGAGAGTGTAAACTGTGTTGTTTTTTCGTGTCTGATATTGTAGCCGTATTGCGTGTTGTTTAACATGTTGGATAATGGATTCAGGGCTAGGCAGAACCAGAGAGGACTCAAGGAATCTCCTTGAAAAATTCCTCGCCTAATGAATATTTCGTTTGTTTGTATGGAAGTGTTACTAACCCTGAGATGTAGTGTTGTTCTCCAGTGCTGCATAGTGTTTTCGAAGAATGCAATGAGTGATGGATGTATTTTGTACATGTGTAGAATATGTAGCAGCCAACTGTGTGGAACACTGTCGAATGCTTTTCTGTAGTCTATATATGCCATGTGTATGTTTCTGTGTTGTTTGTATGCTTGCCGTAAAATGACTGAATCTATGAATAACTGTTCTTTGCATCCCCTGTGATTTCTACAGCAACCTTTTTGTTGTTCTGTAAGAATGTCGTGTTCTTCAACATGTTTGTATATTTTGTTTGTGATATAGGATGTCAATAATTTGTAGAGTGTTGGAAGACATGTAATTGGTCTGTATTGTGTGGGGTCTGTGGTTTTGTTATATTTAGGTTTCATGTAGGTGATGCCCTGAGTAAGAAATTTTGGCATGTCTTGTGGATTGATGATGATGTTTGTCAGATGTTTAGCTAGTTCCTGGTGCAGTGATGTAAATTTTTTGTACCAGAAATTATAATTGTTCTTTTTTGATTGACAACCCTTTGTTCAGTGACACTGAGATTGAGGATATTGTTGTGTGAATCTATGGTGTAGTTGTTGTCTGTATGCTGTCATGTTTGTTTAGAGTTTTGTGATGATGTAGTAAGTATGGATGATAAACTTGTTCATTTCTATTGTTCATTTCATCCATTGGCGTGGTTTCCAGCCTTTGTGGTCTGTGAATGCATTGCCACAGAAACACCAAAGCTAGGTTGATTCTTCACATCTGTTGAGGACATTGCAGTAGACATGCTTGGGTCGGCGCTGCTTTTGCCACCTGTAACCAAGGGGAGACTGTGGCATATTTTTTGAACGTGAGCCTCTGCCTAACCCACAAACGTGGACCTTGTTAACCCAGGTGACGTCCGAGCTGGTATTATACTTAGATCTGGTTACTACCATGATAAATATCTTCACAGAATGTGGGTGTGGTCACTCTTAGCTTCATTTCTCCCCGTAGACCTTACTGGCATGAGTGTCCCTACCAGGAGATTGTGCTCCAACCTGCATTGCCCTATGCATCAGTAAATTACTGGGCTCTCCCACCAATAATTAATATATCTTAATAAACTATGTATTTCAAATAGTTTATTAAGATATATTATAAGAAATAAATGATATAATCTACATTATTTCTTTCAACTAATACATATAACATTGCAGAATTAATAATTTAATTGAAAATTAAGAAAAATTTTATTTTTTAAGAATAATTTTGTCAATTTGTAATGTTGGCTTTCTGATTATCAATGATAATTATTTGATATACAGAATATGTATTTAGTTTTGAATGACATGTATAATGAATAAAATTTATACATATTTTAAAACTCTAGTTCTATTTATAAAATTAAAATGATTATAAGTGTTTTAATAGTTCTTAAAATATTAGCTGTTAGAATAAGTCTTAACTGGTTCTTGTTATTGAAAAGATAAAAAGTAAAATTTAGACTATTTTCTTAATAATTGTATCAAATTTAATAATACAAATATATTAAATTTTTATTATATACTATATTTTGTTAAAAGATTATTTTAGTTTTTATAATAATATTTAACAGGTGAATGATTTAATTAAAGAATTGAAAAATCAAGCAAAATTAATACATAAGGATTTAACTATGGAAGAAGCCAGAAAAGATAATCCAGTTCCTCCTGCTTCTATGCAGAGTTTTCTTAAACATGATAAAGAAATTGCAGGCATTTTGATTTCTGATCATTCTGAGGAATTTATTAATAAGTGAGTATATTTATAGAAAAATTAATTTAAACACATGAAAATATATAATAGAAGGCATTATTTATTTGTCAAATTTCATTTCAATTTTGATAGTTTTGAAATTATCAATATATTTTTTAATAGAAACTTATTAAGGTAATACATTCAGGGTTCCTACGCACCTGGAAAGTCAGGGAAAATCAGGGAAAGTCAGGGAATTCAAAACAAAAATTTGAGTAGGAACCCTGTACATTATTTTGTTTCTGTTTTTTTAAAATATGAATAAATTCATATTGATGCTATATACCAGGTGTGGCCAAACTTTTATCCCTTAGGGGCTACTTTTTTGGTAAAATATAGTCTGCGGGTGACTATGAATATGGGCAAACAACTTTAGGATTTTTATATGCGCATGCGTTGTTCATCGGGATAATTACAAACAGTATGGGTACGCTGAACAGACAGTCTATTATTGTAAGAATAAATTGTCGAATTAAGATTTTTAAACATTAATTTAAGTGAAAGCAAATTGTTCAACTTTAGCTTCGTGGGCTACCTTCAAAAACTTTGCAGTCGACCATGGTCTATGTGTAGGCCATCCCTGCTATATACAAACTGTTTAAAGTAATAGTTTTTTAATTGTATATCAAGAATGTAACTACAAAAATAAATAATTCTATTACTTTTTAAATATAACAACAAAGTTTTATTTATTTTTTTGAAAGATGACTTTTTATAGTGTTGTGTTTTTTTTATTTCATAATTTTCAGTTTGAGAATTTCTATTTCTTCAATGTGCATAAGAAAACTATAGTTACTTGATAATTTATCAAAAAGTTTGAGGTTCCCTAGAAAGCACTATCTTTAGTAACTGTTTATTTCATTTATTATTATTAAATTTATTTCTGAAAAGCTATAAGTATTCAACATATTATTATTACATTCATATTGTTACATGTTTAATTTTACGTTTAATTTAATCAACTACTGAAAACAATTATGAAAAAGATTCACTCTGATTTGAACATCATATAACTAATATAATTATATAAAATTAATGTCAAATTTAAAATTTATTTATAATATTTTCTTTAAAGCAATTGAAGAAAGTACAAAAAATATCTTTCCAAATAACTTTCATGAATTTAATTTAATTAAGGATGATTCCAATTCTATTATTAGAATATGAAAAGATTAAATCACTCTTAAAACATTAGAAAATGAATTAAAATAAATTATTTTTATTTCTATAATTTTTTTATGCAATGATTTATTTGACTTATTATTTGAATTATATAGTAAAGCAACTAATAAATTGTTTGTCATCTTAAAGTTATATACATTGCTTTTTGATTTTAATAGTTATTAATTATATTGACACATGATTTACATTTTTTTAAATTATTATATTTAATAAATATAAAATGTAAAGAAAAGTAATATGTTTTATAAAATAATGCTTGTTAAATAATAGGAAAGAAAAAAAATAATAAAGTTTTAAAAATTCAGTGTATTAAATTTGCTATTGAGAGATTTAAAAAATTGAAGGTATAGTTGAATATAAATGTTTTATGTTATAAAAATAAATAATTTAATAAATAAATAAAATTATGGTAAATATATTTACCTAAAATTTATTGTCTGATTTAAAATTATGCTGTGATAAATGATGTTTCTAAATAAATTTGTTTATATATAACAGCTGTTTTTTTTTTCAAGCTCCATAGTCTATAAAACAAAGACAAGTGTAAATAACAAAATGAATTATTACAAAAAGTTAGGTACAAATATGGTTACCTTTTTGACATAATCACCATGAAGATTGAGGAATTTGTCATATCTGTGGACGAGCTTTTCCATCCCCTTGTCATAGAATGTTGCCGCCAGTGAATTGAGATGGCCTTAACAACATTGTTTTGAAGATCGTCATTAGTCTTGAACCTCTGCCCTCTTAGCCACTTTTTCTGTTCAGGAAAGAAGTGGAAGTCTTCACCACCTTTAAACACCCAGCATATAGCCCTGATTTAAGGTGGAAGTGCCAAGCAACTTCCACCTCTTTCCTGAACAGAAAAAGTGGTTAGGAGGGCAGAGATTCGAGATTAATGATGATCTTCAAAACAATGTTAGGGCACATATCAAGTCATTGGTGGCAACATTCTTATGACAAGGGGATGGAAAAGCTCATCCACAGATATGATGAATGCCTCAATCTGCACAGTGATTATGTTGAAAAGTAATCATGTTTGTACCTAACTTTTGGTAATAAATTCATTTTGTTATTTACACTTGTCTTTGTTTTATGGACCATTGGAGGTTAAAAAAAAACAGCTTATGTATTTCAATTTCTTGTTCATTAAAGCATTAGTTTTTTGTAAATAAAATAAATAAATAAATCTATATTGTTTGTTATATTGCTGTAGAAAGAGTACATTAATATTCATAATTACTATTTCTACAATTCTTTACTTGTATTGTAGAAATAGTAATTATGAATATTAATGTAATAAATTTTAAATATTACAGTATAAAAATAAAATGTCACATTTTATTTTAATATTGTAATAATATTTAAAATAATGCCATATTTGTATTTTTAATATTTAATAAATATTCTTTTTTAGGTATTACAACAGTTTATATGACAATGCTGAAACTTTAGGAATTACAAGTGACAAAGAAAAACTAGCTACTCAGTTAGCTAGTGTAGCTGCAGTTTTATCTAAGACATTATATAAAATGCTGTCAAAAAAGGAATACACTGAAGATGTCATTGATGTTTCATTGGTATATTATTTTAAATACTTCATTGTTTTTAAATTCTCCAATATTTAATTCCATATTCATAATTTTATTTACACAAAATTTCAAATAACAGACATTAAGATTAAATTAAGAAAATAGTAAAAATCATTTTGTAAATAATTTTTGTTTAATTAAAAATAAATCTGTACACAATGATTTAACAATTTTAAATTATAAATTTAAATAATGTGAAAGTTCCAAAGATGACCCCTCCAATACAATCAGTTTTCTAATGAACAGATGTTTTAGCCCTTATAACAATGCAATTTTATTTGTTTGTAAAGATCACCTCTTTCCTTTATCAGCGATTATCTTATGATTTGGTGATGTAATACTTTCTTTTTTAAATGGTCATGTGTGCTGCAAATATGGTATAAAAGTGAAATACTGTACTGTGTGCATATAGCACATTACTATATACTATATATTGTAAATGCAAAACTACCTTTTAAACATTGCTGTAATAACAAAATAATCAGCTGAAGATAGGTGTCTGTGATAAAATTTATTTTTAATGGAATTTTGTTTTTTATATTTGATGCACTCTTTAACACTTTAGGTGATAACCATTTCAGTGAAGGGAAGAAAAAGAAATTTGAAGGGAGTCACTCTTCAGTTTGAGTTAATAAAAATAATAAAATTACAAAAATTTTTAAGTAATGAAGACATCACAACTGTATAAATTGATGCTTTTCTTATAAACTTACATGTATTTAATTCCATCTTTTCTATGGTCAGTTCAGCCATAAACATATTCTACTACATAAATTTACACAATGTCAAACCACATTGGTATTATAGTGTAAGGTCAATGGAGCAATATTCACATTAAACTCTCTGTGGAATAAACAATTTACTAATAGCACAACTTTTTTTAGTGTGATAAACATTATTATACATGGCAATTAAATTTATGTATTCATATCATGTTATCTATTTATATTAATATATTCATACCAGACATCATTGGTCTTTAACTAATATTGTCATTAATTTTATTTTTTTTTAACCTTCAATGTTTCTATATGTTCATAATAATTTTTTCCCTCCTCCAAATTTTATGTTTATCTATTTCACATCTTTCTTAGTTACAATATTTTGCAGCAGCAGAATTTTGAGTATTATATTTTATAGCATTAATGCATTCTTTTTAAACTTCTTTTAACATTAATAAAACTAGTAAATAGCCAGGATGATGATAACATTTAAAATTTATTAGAAAATTTTAACAATTTCACAAGAAGTTAACAAAAGTAAACACAGGGCTTCTTCATCTTTCTTTGTCCTATTTTAATGCTGAAGACAGAATGGAATTAATCCATTTTAGTTGTTACAGTAAACAAAACCATTCAAAAATATGTATCTATAGACTTATTTATGTATAATTTTCAAAGTTTCAATTTTATCATTTCATAATATGTTTTTAGAATAATTAATTTTGTTTTTAATTAAAAATATAAATTGTAAAATTTTAATGTTTGTTTACAGGTTTCTGAATTATTAGAATGTTACATGGTAAATGCATCTTGTAAGCTATTTCAAGAAATAAATGATCCTGATAAGAAAGGGAAATTAAGTATGTTTTTTAAATATTTATTATATGAACACCTTTTTTGTTTTTAAAAATTTGTTTGTTTATATCATAAAATAATTTTTGAAAAGAAGCAGAAATGGTTTTCCATCATTGGCATTTTGTAAAAAATTAAATAGGAATCATTACTAGTTATAAATAGTACTATTCCATAGCACATTCCTTTTTGAATTTATTATCCATCAGTGGTCTTCAAATCTACAGATTCATCATACTTGAATTTAGATTCAATGCAATACATATTAATTAGCAGCCTTTAGTACCAAGTATCTTACTTCTCTGTCACTGAATTTTACAAACTATTCAATTGTTCAACAACTGTTATTTGGGCAAATTTTTCTGGTCAAGGCTCAACTCAAAATCGACTTTTTTACATTATTTTAATGGTTTTGTTAAATCAATATTCATAATAGTAAATATTTAGAAGTTAAACAGTCAATCTTATCAGTTATGGTAACATTGTTGATACTTTGAAGAAAATCTAAGAAAAATGTTGTTTTGCACTTTTCTGGAAATTTTGCATTTCAGATGCAAACACCATTGAAGATGACTGCACGTAGAAAGATGTGAGCATCAAATTTGGTGTTGATTCAGAAGAGTCCTAGAAAGTAAAAGGGTTTCTGACTTAAATAGCACAAAATATGGTGATATATAAATCTTACTTGCAATTTATAGTGAACAAATTTATGTCAACAGAATCAGTTTTGTTGATGTAAATTTGTCTTGAGTTGTCCCTATTTTATCAAAAAAAAAAAAAAAAATTATGGATGAAATGTAAAAATTAACCTGCATCTTATATTTGAGTAAATACTATATCTATCTAGCCAAACTCTTGAAAGCTGCTTGTTAAAGCCTATTATTCCACAAAACACAGAATACCCACTGTCATATATAATTACATAATCAAATAGTGATATTTTACAAAATGCATCTCTTAATTATTGCAAAATATCAATAACTTGGTAATTAAAATGAGAAGAGAAATTGATTTAGAAAACTAAGAATTTAGAAATTGATTTGTAAAAATTTATACACATAAAAATAGATACAGAATTTGATTCTGGAATATTTTATTAAAACTTATAAAAATAAGACTTTAAAAGACTGTTAAATTTAAAGTAGTTAAAAAGTAATATTTTATATTATTATAATTTATGTAATAATTTATTATCTATATCTATTTTTTCTATTTTTTATTTGTTTATATTATTTTGTAATTTAAGGAGAAGAGCCATATACTTTGTATGTTGGAGTTGGTCCTTCTGTACAACAAAGCCCAGCCATGATATTTACAAAATATTTATTTTCTTATCTTACTGGTGCAATTATGGAAAATGCAAGTCAAGAAATTTGCAAAAATGATAAAAGCAATGAGGTAAAAAAAATGTTGAAATTTTATCATCTATCAATTAGCATATATTTGTTTATAAAAAATATGTACTGAAGTCAAACAAAATTTCTTGTATCTCAAAATCCTTAAATCAAACTAGTTGAACTTAGCAAATGCTAACAAATCTGTTAAATTCTGTGAATGTTTTTGGCACATTATCTGGTAAAGTGGTTTTAATACCACTCAATAAGCAGCTATGAATGATGTAGTGCATTTCAAATGAAACAGATTGTGTCATTGCTTGCTTATCCAGCTATATTAAAGTCATTTTACCAGGCAATGCACTCTTTAATCATGTGCAAGTCGCCAATTTAGTGAAAATCCATCAAATCTAGTAGAAATATAAAAATATGGTTTAATGTATTGTGCGAAATTTGATTTCTGAATAAGTTCAGTGTAGCATAGAGAGAGAAGTTTGTGGTAAACCTAAATTCAATATATTTATTTGAATCATTATTATAGCGTAATATATTGTTTTAATAATGAATCATATAAATATCGTGGACTTAAATATATCACAGAATTATATCCCTTATTTATTGCTTTGTAATAAAAATGCAAGTTTTTCGTATACCTTCAAATACAATCTCTACAATTCAAACTGGTCATTTTTTGATTCCTTCAAATTTGAGATTTAGAAATTTTACTGAAAATAGATTTATTCTATTTTTCTTTTTCTTATTAATGAGTAAAAAAGTACAGCAGTAGCATTACAGTGAGATTAATTATAAAAACAAAAGAAATACATTACAAAAATATATGAAGAAACTAAATTGTTTTTACACTTCCATTATGTCCAATCACCAGGGATAAATAATCTTCCTTTACAGAGACAACTTTTTATTTTAGACTACACCAGATTGCCAGACAATGTTTTAATTTATTTTACATATTTTTACAGAGGCATAGCCTTCAATAAAAGGTTGTATCAGTAAACAAAGGCTGTTCTGGTGATTGGACATGTTGGAAATGTGAAGATGATTTAGTTTCATCCATTTACAGGACAGTTAGAATTAAACTGATGATACTCAGACATGCCTGGAGCCAGCTCTATTGAACAAAATTGAATGAAACTTGTAAACATGCAATGCAGATCATGGAAAAGAGATTTATGGGGAATTAGTAGAAATTTTTACCACCAGGGGATAATGTGGTGCTGTTTAATCAAAAATGTTTCTGGCTGTAGGGTTATTTGTGTGAGGCCTGAGGAATTCTTGAGCTCACATATTAAAAATTTAATAAAAGTGCCAAATCAGGGGATTGATCTTTGATTGTAGCGCTCATAAAAACTGAAATAAAAACATAAATAAAAAATGGGAAAGAATTAAAAATTTTAGTTGAGAGAACAAAAAAAAAACAAACTTTAAAAAAGTGATCTAGTGCAGAGATTATGTTTCAGACTTACAAGAATTTGGTCGTAAACAATAAGTAAATGTGAGTAGGAGTTTCAAAGTTTGATTAACTTATTTTATCAAACAAAAACGCAGTGTTGAATTTGACCCTTTGTGTCCCGAAATGGTCTGTTATCTACCTGGAGAAACTGACCAATCAGAAAGCGAGAGATTGGGGGAGAATTCTTTAAAAACCCTGATCTCGAAGTTAAAGACAGACTTTTCTCTGTCTCGCTGTGTGGGCCATAACTTACAGTTTATTTATTTTATTGTTATTTATTATTAAGTTTTATTTTATTTTTATTTTTTAATTTATTATTATTAATTAACACTTCCACTGATTGTTCTCTTGGTCACATCACCTTTGACTTGCCTTCAGTGTTCTACACATATGGACTTTTATCCCTATCTTCACTATTCTGCATCAGACTGTTTTTTTTTTTTTTTTTTTTTTTTTTATCACTTCTGTCACCAGACTTCTTGATAGTCAACTCCATGAAATATTTAGACCAACCACCCTGGGTCTATCAACTCTCCAACAGCACCGCACCAATAGTCAACAAGTGTCTCCATTAGATGTAAGACTTAGAATTAATAAACAGGTTTATTTGTAACTGCAGGTGTCTGCCTTGCTTCCATTCACACCACATCTGATAAATCCAGACATTTGTGTATCCCCAATTCAGTAACCTCACATTTGTAAGATCATGTTTATCATGGGCATTTTCACTCTGTCAGAACTGAAGGCTAGTATAGTGTAACATGTCTCCCAGATTCCTTCTGAAATGTTACATGGTTTTACAATTGCTACATTTGGTCAACAGAGGAGGATCCTATTTTGAGCACATACTGTAAATATGTAAAATGTAATTTTATTCTTATAATAAAATTTTGTCCACTTGTCTTATAATTGTCATCTTTTCAGTGTCACATTTTCTCTTGATGAAAATTTCAACTATTTTTTCCCATAAATCTCTTTCCCATGATCTGCATTACATGTGTACTTAGTTTCATTTGATTTGCTTCAGTAGAGCTGGTTCCATGCTTGTGCAAGTACTGTCCAAGTATTTTTAATGTATAAAATACAGGAAATCCTTGTTAATTCAAAATTCAAGGGACAAAATAATCACAACTTCAAATTATTTGAGATTTATGTATTTCTATACAGTATAAAAAATGCCATGTAATTTATTAAGCAAACAGAATATGGCTAATTATACAGGACACTATTTTCATTAATTAATAATAAATAATAATAAAATAAATAAACTGTAAGTAAACAGCATGTAACCGGTGAGAACCTCACAGATTGCCAAATAGGTTTTATAAAAAGTAAAGCAGAATTTCTTGAAATATAGCTCAAATTACTTTTAAAGTGGCTTAAAAAGTTGTAAGTTGCCCAAATCTAGTAGTCTAAAGCCCTACAAATATTTCAATCTGCAACTTGTAGACAAATCATGCAATCTTGAAAGCCAGCCCTATTTTATGAGATAAGAGACAAAACAGTAGTCCACAGATAAGGTAATACTTGAAAATGTGTTATTGTAAAAGCAAAGCCATATTGACAAGATTAGAGTTGTTGTTGGTCTATTTTTCTCTTATGCAGGCACTTTGATCTAATTGAATGAGTTAACATACTCATATTGTAGTCTGGACAAAATTTTCACTTTAAATTTCAAAGTAGCCATATATTGAACTAACCAAATTCCTTAAATCTATATATCCCTAGCCAGGACAAATAGTACAGTTATGAACTAACAGGATTTTGAACTATCTGGGTTTGAATTAACAAGTATTTCCTGAACTATCAGCCATTTTAATTTGAAACAAAAGAAATAATTTATTTTTAACAAAGTTTCTATTAAAGTTTATTAAAATTACATATCATCATTAATTACTGTTTTTAATGTTTTATCTTATTAGATTTTTGATTTTGTAGGAATATGATTACAGATGGATGGCTGGTCCTAATTTAACTGGGGTGTGTGTAAGATCTACTGTCTTTCAGACTCAAGCATTATCACCTGCTTTTGTGTTAAAAGGTATAATTATGTTATATTCACAATTTCTTAAATCTATTTTAAAATAAAATATTTCAAGTACAAAAAATTTTATAATGTATATATAAATAAGTGGGCTGCAATTTGAAAAAAACTTATTTTTGATAACTTGATAACTTGTAGATTTATAAATTCCCACTGTCATCTGTCTGTCCTTTATTAATTTCTAAAATGGAGTTAGATAGATGAAAGTCAAGACCAGATATGGAAAGCTTAGGTGCAAGAGGTCCTGATTAACTATATATGAACTTCTGATGTCATGTTATTTCAATTCAAAAATTTTCTTGAAAGTTGTTAGATAAATGACAAGCATGACTCTATTGTTGTTATCATAAAAAATTATTTTTAATCTTGATATTTTACTTGTGAGATAGTTACAAAAAAAGACAAATATATTAATTAATTAATATTACTCTTTATAAAAGATTTAACTGAACTTTTATTGTGTACAGTTAGTTTTTTTTAATGAGTTTACTTAGTGATTAGAATAAAATTTACAAAATTTTATAGTTTTTACTACTAAATTTAAATAAGCAGATAATTTTTTTTAATAATAATAAATAATATCTATCAAGTAATTGATGACATTTCTTCTGGATGTTGAATTTGATAATGTTTTAAGATCTTTTATTCTTTTAGAAGAAAAATAATGTTAAACTAAATTTATATATAGTTTATTTTTATATCTAATAATGTCGTTAATAATACCATTTTTATAGATATATATTTATTTATTTATTTTTACATCATTTAAGTGTAGGAAAAATNTAACTTTCTGATTTACAAGTTTGTTGTACTTGATTAGTTTTAGAAATATTACATAAATTTTCATTATTAGATTAAACATTTTTCAAAATACTGACATGAATTTTTGATGCCTCCAATAGCTATAAAAAGCATAATTCCATGTCTGATTTGATTATTTTCTTTTTATAGTTAACAGAAAACTAGCAATATATTATATATACTATAACATTTTTATAGATTTAACAAAATAATGTATAAAAATTAAGAAATTTGATAAACTCAAATTGATATATTCTACTTTCCATTTGTTTTGCTTCTTACACTGTGTTTTTAATATTTTAATGATAATTTTAAAAAATCATACAATATCTATGATGTCGGAAGATTAAATTTATAAAAACAATAATATAGTACAGTACATAAGAAAATGTTAGATAAACTTATTTAGTTTTATTTTAAGGAATTTGAACTTTTAGAAAGGGTTTTAGAGGAAGAGAAAACTGTCAGTGGTGGAATACAAATATTGTTCTTCTATCAAAGAATTAAATGTTTAGAAATACTGAAAAGTATCTGCATATATCCGCTTCAATAAATTATATCGTGTTTGTGTTTTATATATAATTTTAAATATGTTACAAGAGTATTTTTACTCTATATTTTCATATATAGTTTTATTATGCTAATAATATTGTCTTTATAAGTAGGGAAATCATTTTAAAATTAAAATCATACAAGTACAATAGAGCATTGATTATCTAAATACCGATCGACCAAAACATCGGTTAACTGAAAGCGTTTCAGTTGGCAAATTCAAATTTCTGCTAGTTCTGTGGAGCTGCAGCACTATCCCCTTCCCTGCCAACCTAAACTGTAGGCCTACTTTAATGTACTGTACAGGTACTACTTTATGTAAGGTATGTACAGTCGACCCCCCTATAACATGGGTTCCTATAGTTTGGATTCCTATATCACGGCGGAAAAATTGCGACAGTATTCATACAAACATGCTAAAAAAACTCCTATAATTCGGTGAAACGTCATCACTGACTCGTGTCGCGACAGGATTGCACAAACCGTTGAGTTTAAATGAGCAGTGGACCTACCAAAAATCATTTATTATTTAACTGCCATTAAAATTATATTTATATTAATGATGTCTCTAAAGTTCAGCGAATTTTTCGCAAAAAAAAATCATTTATCAGGAAGCACGCGAGCGCCATTTGATGACAATCTCCACGACAAAAACAAGCTTAATTAATTTTAATTAAGCAACGGCATAGTCGAATAGTGCACACTCGGTAAGTAATCCTACAATTTTTTGTTTATAGCATAGTTTATATGGATTATTCCCAAAAAAATTATACGTATTTTGGAAATGTTGAGTCGAATTAGTCTAGAATCGATTAATTTTATGGAAGAAACCTTTCAAACAGCTGTAGTCGTGCCAGGTTGTGATTGGCTGGATTCCTAGAAGCTGGATTCATAAAAACAGGAACGTATCTACTGTGTTATAGGGAGGTCGACTGTATTTGTAAGATGTGTGATACAAAATATGTACAGTACAGTTTTGTGTTTAATATATTTTTTTGTAAATGATCAGTTATCCGAACAATCTCAGTCCCAAATTGTTTCAGATAATCAATGCTCTACTGTATAAATTTCAGTTAAAATAATATATTTTTCAATAATTTTTGAATAACTTTAATGTTCAATTTCAATTTTCAATGTTTTGAATAACTTTAATGTTAATTTTTCCAGCTTAAAAATGTTTTGCATTTTATTTCATGCTATTTGTTTATATTGAAATATATTTGAAATAAAATTATGATTTTCATCAATAACTTTTTGTAGTTTTAAAATAAAATTTTAACTTTTTTGTAATTCATAACTTATTGATATTTATTTTTGAGAATTTTTATCTTTAAATATTATAATGAATTAAAATGTATTTTTCTTTTTTTCCATTGGACTTACAACAGATTTTTGTTCTAGAAAGAATGTCCCAGAACTTAAAATTTTTTATGAATCATTTTCATGCTTTATTTTGTACTTTCTGATATTACAGTTCTATATATTATTATACTTGGTTGATTATTATTAATTGAAGAAATATTTAAATTTCAAATTTTAAAGCTGCTTCATTTCATCTTAGCACTTGAGTTCTCATCAAAAAAAATTTATATGAAATGTTACTCTGTTGTTAGTCATTATTTTCTTCATTCTTTTATGAGTTATTTATAATTTTATTTTCAATGTCATTCAGTTTAATTAATCAGCTTTTCTTCACTATTGTGCAAAGAGTAGAATAGATTCTTTTGTAATTATTTTTCAGCTCATTAATTTGCATTGTTATTTTAATTGGTATTTATTAATATCCTCCTATTATTTTACATATATCTTATATCCATCATTTTTTCTATTCTTTTCTTATTTTATTCTTGGATTATATTTCTCTTTATAGATGTTTGTAATTTTGGTTTCATTATATCTTATCATTATTTCTACATTCAGTAAATGCATTTAAATAAATCTGTTTCATTATCAAATTAGTTTCTTTTACATTCACATAATTTGTTGACACTTGAAATATATATATTATTTTATTATTTTTTTTTTTAGCTTATTTACAGAAATAGAAATGATTTAATCTATTATTATCTATAAATTTTGAAGATATAAACAAATGATTATTTTCCCCAAATTAAAGAGGAAAGTGTTATATATATATATTTATAAGCAGCACAGTCATTTTATTTCAAAATCAATAATTTTTTTATGTAATTATTTCTAAACTTAAATAAATTGCTAAACTTTTTTCCATGGATAAGTATCATATTGATAAAATAAAATAATTAATAATAATTCAATTTAAATTAGTGAAATGGTAAGATTTTATAGCATTTATTGGGTTGCAGTTTTTAAATTGCAAACCTTTAGATTCCCAGTATTGTCTATCTGTCCTTCCTTAATCTTGAAAACAGAGTTAGATAGATGATAATTGAGACCAGATATAGAAAACTTAGGAGTTGGAATCCATGATTAACTATATACAAATTTTCACTCAGCAGTGGAAATCATATGATTTTTAAAAAATTAAAATATGGTTAAAAATTGCTAGCTGACATAGTGACAATGTCACAATAACAAAATGATTTTTCTACTGTAAAAACTTTCTGTTTTACTATAATCTATAAATAGAATTTCCTGATGGTTCATAGTTATTTTAATATTTATATGAAATTGTTAAATCATGTAAATACATCTGTGAAAATATCTTAAATATCCTAACCGAGAAGAATGAAGTTGTATTGTAATCATTGCATTCTTTTTAATTGTTGATGATAACTTTCTGATTTACAAGTTTGTTGTACTTGATTAGTTTTAGAAATATTACATAAATTTTCATTATTAGATTAAACATTTTTCAAAATACTGACATGAATTTTTGATGCCTCCAATAGCTATAAAAAGCATAATTCCATGTCTGATTTGATTATTTTCTTTTTATAGTTAACAGAAAACTAGCAATATATTATATATACTATAACATTTTTATAGATTTAACAAAATAATGTATAAAAATTAAGAAATTTGATAAACTCAAATTGATATATTCTACTTTCCATTTGTTTTGCTTCTTACACTGTGTTTTTAATATTTTAATGATAATTTTAAAAAATCATACAATATCTATGATGTCGGAAGATTAAATTTATAAAAACAATAATATAGTACAGTACATAAGAAAATGTTAGATAAACTTATTTAGTTTTATTTTAAGGAATTTGAACTTTTAGAAAGGGTTTTAGAGGAAGAGAAAACTGTCAGTGGTGGAATACAAATATTGTTCTTCTATCAAAGAATTAAATGTTTAGAAATACTGAAAAGTATCTGCATATATCCGCTTCAATAAATTATATCGTGTTTGTGTTTTATATATAATTTTAAATATGTTACAAGAGTATTTATACTTTGTTAATTTGAATTTATACTTGTTAATAAAGAAAATAGCAATTTATAATATAATCAGAATGATTCAGTATCAGATTTCACCCATTCATTATTTAAAACTAATGCAAATGTTTGTTTTTTTATGAACATGTAAATATTACTAAGGCAGTTCTAATAGAAGTGTAACCACTGGATCAGCAAAAACTTTGCTATGCCAGGTGTCTACAAAGAAAAGTCTGATCTGAGTAAACAATGAAATAACACTCAGATCAGGTCATTAAAGAAACATGTTTTTTACATTGTTTTATGATTCTTTAAATGTATTTAATACTGCAAATAATAGTTTATTCTTTCAAAAAATAAATGAAAAAAATTTTTTTTTACAATCTTTATAAATACAATCTGTTTTTACAATCTGTTTGAGGAAAGAAATTTGTGTATAAACTGGTAACATTTACAATAAACAAGGCATTCAATGACAAACTCTACTTCAACTAAACTTAATCAGATATATGAAAATAAGTTTTATAAATTATTTTGAGTGTTTCTTATTTATCAACAAACATTTGTTCATATCATATAACTGGACTATAAAATTTTTCTTTGTTATTAAGTGCTGTATCTATTAGTGTTTTATTTTATAGTCTGTAGCAATATGTAATAGCTCACATATGTAAAATGATTGGGTGATTGAATAATTTTTAATTACCACTTTATAATCTCAAGAAATGTGTTTGTATAATTATGAGGTAAACATATTTTATTTCATCAATGAAAACATTAACTGATTTTCTTTCTTAACTGATTCAATTACATTAACTGATTTTCTTTCTTTTAGAATTAATTAGCAAAGTATGCATTTATTTCTAGTTTCCAGAAAAATTGAACAGAATGAGAATAGACTATATTTAACTGTCCATTCGAATATTAATAATTTTTTAATTTCAATTCTTTCAGATTGGAATTCGAAAGAATATTCTACTTGGACCGAAAGCGTATGGGAAGAGGCATCTGTCTTGATATTTTTACAGCCCAGTCGTGCAAAAGAAGCAGCAACTTTAGTAGCTGGATGCATTATTTCTGTCCTCTCCTTCATTATAGTCTACTTCGCCAACAAGAGGGCTTCCATTCTATTCGGGGCACGAAATTTAGTCAGCTGCTAGGAATACGCCACAAATCATATCGCTTTGTCTGATCTAGGCCACAGAAACACCTCCGTAACACCTATACCCGTCAGTCTATAACCGTTTCGTTCTGTCGAACAACTTAATTCTACGTTTTCAAGCATTTTATACTACAACTTTTTAACGTTAAAATTTCTAAGAAGGGCTCTCTTTCAGTAGTTATCATTTAAAAACTATTCCATCTTAAACGGTTTATAGCCACGTTAAAATTCAGTCAGTTTACGATAGGACCAGCGAATATCTCGAACTTCTGTTGCCTGGATCGGTCGAAGCTTTGTGATTTGTGGTAGACATTATAAGAACGTGTACAGATGTCTAATTGTCCAAAATTTGACATTATATACGTAGGGATTTCTCAGCCACGTCTAGTCACAAAAAAAAGCCTAATTACGGATTTGAATATTCTACATCTCGAAATATCGATACGTTCGTCGGTATTCCGAAATGTGAGAGAAGAATGTAAGTAAAAAAAAAAAATTTAAAAAGCAGATAAAACTAAACCCTCGATCAGCAACTTGATCGTCGAGTCTAGAATGGCACGAAATATATGTATATATTAATAACAGTTATTTATTAATTCATTTCCGGAAATTAAATCGGAGTGGGTCTTCGACCCGAATGTGTATAAAAATTTCTTATCACGCATCATAAAATCGAATTAGATAATATTGGAATGCCGTAAAAAAACTGTTAAGGCGCGATAACTTGTAATATTCTTTTAAATATATGGAATGCACCTTTTAAAATAAAAAAAAATAATAGTAAGGAATAATTTTCCAATTTATAATTATTAATAAATTTTGAAATTTTCTGCTTAGTGAAATTTTATGCTTAGTTTCTCTTGGGAGAAACGAGTCATTTGTCTTCTTTTCGAATTGAATAAAAATAAAATCTTCCTTTTTTCTGAAGTAAGTTTAAGTGTGTAGTCCAGAGGAGGCTTTTGAGATTTTACGTGAATCAGTAAAAACAATGGGTAAATTGTAAAGAAGATTTTTATCGATTTTTGTATAAGTTGTATTACATAAAATCATAACAAGTGGGTCACAATAAAAAATTAATATCTATCGAGACGATCGTAGAATTTCATTTCTGGCTTTTAACTATTTGCACTGGAGCCTTGAAGCAAAGTAATTTATCTCCTTCGCCCGTAATTTCGAAAACTGTCATCGTTTTTAGCTGAAAAAATGTAATTATATAATTATATATATAATAATCTAACAATCGAATTTAAGAATAGTATACTCACAGATGGAAAAAACGGGAGTATATCAAGATCGAATACAAACGTTTGTTTGTCACCTTCAGATACAGGGCACGTGATGTTCCTGCCTTTACAGGCATCCCGATTCAAACCAGGCAAAGGAAGACTTATACCTGATAATTCGGCACCAACCCATAATTGCAGCCAGTCTGAGTTTTGTTCTGAAAAAATATAACCCAATATATAATGCAAGTTTGGTAAATCGTGTAAATTATGAATTTTTTTTTTGGTTGGTATTCTATCATTAACTATATACGAACTTCCGGTTCATGCCGGAAGTCGCGTGATTTCGATTCGAAAAATTTCCCAGAACGGAGTTATATAGATGATCGGCATCACTGTCGTTATCAGGAAAGTATGATGTACTGTACGTAGGCGGTTTTTTTCTTCAACCTCCGATGGTCCATAAAACAGACAAGTATAAACAACAACAATGAATTTATTACCAAAAGTTAGGTACAAACATGGTTACTTTTCGATATAATCACCGTGAAGATTGAGACATTTGCTGTATCTGTATACGAGCTTTGCAATCTCCTCTTCATAGAATGTTGTTTTGAAGATCGTAATTAGTCTCGAACCTCTGCCCTCATAGCCACGTTTTCAGTTCAAGAAAAAGGTGGAAGTCGCTCGGGTCTATACGCTAGGTGTTTAAAAAGTTCCAAGCTGAGTGGAAGTCTTCACAACTTTAATGTGTGAAGACTCATCTCTTTCCACCTAAACATTCTATGAAGAGGGGATTGCAAAACTCGTCCACAGATATGGCAAATGCCTCAATCTTCAGGGTGATTATGTCGAAAAGTAACCATGTTTGTAACTAACTTTTGGTAATAAATTCATTTTGTTGTTTACACTTGTCTTTGTTTTACGCACCATCGGAGGTTGAGAAAACCCGCCCTCGTACAAGGACAAGATACAACTAATTTGAGATGAAGAGCATATATTTTAGATTAAATAAATTAAAAATTGTAGCCTGGCATTGTGACGATGTCACAATAACTTGCTCATTACTAATAGAGTATTTTTTGTTGTTTGCATGTATAATTCTCTACAGAAATTTGACCTGAGGCGTCAAAACAACTTAAAATGGCCTTGATGTGAAGAAATGGTGTTTTAGTATCGGGTAGTTCGATGTAAGGAGTAAGGTAAGTGCGCGATATTTGGCAAATAACATGAAATTTTTACAAAACATACGTGATTGTTGGTCATAAAATTACATCGTGTGAATAAATGTCACTGGAAAGAAACTTTTTACTAAATTTACTACATTTTTTAAGTAAAAGGAATTTGACACGAAACTCATAAATACTTTTAAAGAACAAAAAATTTAAATTTTTGAATTCGATCTGTCTATAAGTTGTATTTAGCCTATCAGAATAGAAACGAGTAGTTAAAGTTAACTCCATTTATTGTAATCACGGATAGTGTTATCGAAATTAACAGGTTTCAAAATGAAGTTAACATTTAAAAAATTTCGCTAATAGCAGTTAGAATGAGATAATCGTCATCGAGTATTTACCGAAGATTGATGATGGTTAATTTTGAAGAAAAAGCTTCAAATTTTATTTTCTTTTGTCTCGCCTTTCTGTGAAATCTGACGCTGATGAGTCATTGTTTACACAGCTGAATGACCTTGAACACAGCTGGAGTTGGATTTCCCGGGGCATTCTCGGGAGGCGATGGGTTTATAGTAGGATGAATACTAGCTGGCCATTAAAAAAATTATAAAAACTATCGGAGGTCGTTTTTGACATCAGAAACTAGCTTTAAATAACTTTACCGAAGAAAAATCCGTGCACTACAACTTTAGAACGATGAATGAAATTTGATATCAAACTCCCATTAAAAAACTATTAAAAAGCAATTAAGCGTGCGTCATTAAAGGTAAATTAAAATCGCGATAAAATTTTTTCGCTCGGGAAAAACGTTTTGAAAAAATTTGGAGACAAAAAACATTCCAAAAATTTCAAAAATGGCCTTAAGGATCGCATTTTATGTAACGCTATGTAACTTGCCCGAGATAACTCGGGAACACTTAAATTGTATTGTATTCAGCACTACGCATTTTCTCTTTAGTGTTGATTATAAAAACTATTTTTTCCGTGAATATTCCGAAGAATGCTTCTGCTCTTTTGGTGAATTTGAAGTTTTTCGAAAAAATAATGATTAATTATAATCTTTTAAGGAAATACAGGATATACTGTTTAAAGATGGAAAGTAAAGATAAGACTATTGTTAGACAGCCGAACGGTTAAGGTGGCAGGCAGCCTACCGCTTCGGGGAACCCGAGGTCGAAACATCCAGATTTTTCGTGGGTGATTCGTCCGGATATGTCGGGTAAAGTCCCTCATCCGGCCGAATCCATAATGGGCTTGCAAAAATGGAATTACGGCAACGCGATAAGTGGGTGAACTGCCAAGGGGAAGACTTTTTTATTTTTAACTCTCTCCGCCTTATGGGCACTAAGAGGGCCTCTTTTTGCAGGCGCATTATGGGTTCCGCCAGGCCTACAATGGGGCCGCTGGGTGGTGAGAGACGGGGCCCGACATATCCGAGCGGACCATCCCCGAAAAATTCCTGGGGATTTTTCGACCCGTTCTGATTCGAACCCGGGTCCCCCAGAGCGGTAGGCTGCCACCTTGACCGCTCGGCCATCCGGCCGCTGAGGGGAAAGACTATCATTGGAAAACTAGCTCCTACTTAAGTGTTACTAACGTGAATAAAACCCGAAAAACTTCACGTGACCAGCCCGTTGGCAAAGCACAAACCAGTGTTCAGTGGTTTTATCCACTCGGATACTGATCAGTTTTGCTAAACAGAGGTCCTCTTAATGCCCACAGGACGGAGAGAGTTAAAATAAGGCCATTGCTAAAATAAGCTGATTTATTTTTATTCTTATATTTATTACAAAAATTACATTTGGAAAAAATGTATACGCTGAAGACATGTAAGCGTTTGTGTGAAGTAGGGTAAGATTTGGCAATATGGTGATATATTTTGGTCTTGACTGAAATGCTGAATTATGCCTAACATGAATGAAAAGTGATATTATCTATTGAAAGGCTTTATGTTTGGCGTAGCATAACACATTATTTTTTTGATGTAACACATATATGGTATAAATACTATAAACCACAAATAATTTATTAGTCAGAATCTGGTAATTTGATGACAGGTAGCGATATTGTAGCTATGATTTAGCAATGTAGTGATATTTGAAATAACTTACTAGTTTTCTATAAAAACATTTACATTTATATATATATATATATATATTTTTTTTTTTTGCATATTTGGCTAGCTGTTATCAGATCTCTTGCTTGTACTCGTATTTGTGTCACACATGAATAAGTCTTCGTTTGTGGTGATACATAACATGCTTGTTTTGATAATCTGGTGTTATTACATACATACAAAGGAACTATAACACACTACTCATGATTCCATGGGAACATAATCAGCGTCTTTCGTATTTCACAGCATGATAACAGGGAAAATTCATTTGAAGACCTATGGTCTCAGAAACTCATCAAGGCAAAAATCAGTAAAAAAAAAAAAAAGGCCAGAAGCTATAGAATTAGCAGCAATGATACTATCGCCATCATCTTAACGATATGCTCATACCGCATTAACGGCCAAAAATTTTAAATAGTTTTCCCGCTACCTGTAGTACAAATCTAACTCGTTATATATGATGATTCTTTATGAAAACATTATCGCCAAATTACCGATCCTTATCGTATAGTTTATATATATCATCGATTCCATTAAGGCTGATTATATCCTCATTAAGGCATTAATTAATTAAGAGAACCTGTTTAGCAAGGCCGAGTGGATAAAACCACTTAACACTGGTTTGTGCTTTGCCAACGGGCTGGTCACGTGGAGTTTTCCAGGTTTTATTCACGTTAGTAACACCTAAGTAGGAGCTAGTTTCCCAATGATAGTCTTCCCCCTCGGCAGATCGCCCACTTATCGCGTTGCCGTAATTCCATTTCTCTTTGGTCATTTTATATTGTATTTTATAAAATAAATTTAAATATAAAAAGTTTTATTAATATTCAGCGATTTTCTCTATCAAATGCATTAAATTTAATTAAAACACCCGTTATATCAAATAATAAAGATTGATTAATTGAAATAATTTAATTAAGGAATGGCAAATCTTAGAATGCAGCAATTTGCTGGACCGAAATGAAATTACAGTAGAGCGTCGATTATCCTAATCAATTGGGGACGGGTTGTTCGAAAGATCTGTGTTTCGGATAACCGATTACGTACGAAAAAATATATTAATTTATCCCATCTTGACATTTTTCTTCGTTGCGTGTCGCTTCGCGTTGAATTTTCGTCCATGTTAAGCCTAACGAAGACTATTATATTGTTAAAAATTATTTTTTTATTTTGTACAAACAAAATAAATATATTGAAAAATATAAAAACAATAAAAAATTATACTTCAGAAGTTAATTTAGTATCAAAAACGTAAAATATTTGAGTAGCCCAAGACATAGCCAAAGATTGCAGCGCCACAGCACTGGCGAAAATTTAAATTTGCCGACGAATTCTTTCGGATGATTGACTTTCGGATAATCGACGCTCTACTGTAATTTAATTAGTTTTAAACAAAATTTCTTTGAATAATTTTAAAAATTCACAATGACTTTAAAATTTTATGCTCCATACATCGGAAAGCAGTTATTTCTACAATGTTTTCTAACTAATTTTCATTCTTATTTTTATTTTATTTTACTCTTTAAATATCCGGAACAAGGATGTTCCAGTCGAGCGAAACGATATTGACTTAGATTAAATTTTATAATAGAACTTCTCTCTCAACTTATTCACTTCAAACCGACGCAGAATATTGAATAATAGACCAATTATTGTATGTAATTATGGGAATTTCTTTCTCATATAAGCCTATTTTAATTGAATAACTAAAAACGAGATGTTTGATTTATTGAGTTTGTTCTAAAGTCTTTTAAGTTTTTAAGCTATAAACTAAGCTTATTTTATATCAGAAACACTTGTTGATGAAATAATAGAAGATACAGATTCCATAACGTGTATAAACCCAAAATTTTTAGCACTCAGTTATATCGCGCTTTTTTTTTTTTCTTTTCTTCTCCAGACAAGCGCGATATAACGACGGACTACTGTATTCTTAATTACATTTGTAATCAGACCAGATCTCTACTTATAAAAAAAAGTTCTACCGATAATATAAAATTACTTACTTGATATAAAATCTGCTTCTATGTGGATAGATTTTCCTTTGATTGCTTTGCAAGGTTCTTCTTCACAAGGAGTTACCCTGACTGCGGTAACGTTGCCTCCTGTTGGTTAACAGCAATACGTTTAATTTTCAAAATGATGCCCAAAAAAAAGGCCTTCGAGACAGATATAGAAATACCTACCGCAAGAATCAAATTTGATAGTTTTACACGAAACGTATCCAACGCACCACAAGAGCCATAAAGCTAACAACATTTCGAATCTGTCTTCTATTACTTTGTTTTACTACACATACATTCCCGGCTTTTTATATATTCCGGTCGCGAGTTTCTACTCTCGAATTAGTCACCTTACAGAAAAAGTAGTTTTACGTGTAACCAATAGCCGATCACCTTGCTCATTCTGGTTATCATTCTCACATTTATCATCTCGTGCTCGGGAAAGCATATAGAACTACAACATATTACGACTCTACAGGTTAAAGGTCGTTCGTTCCTCTTCAATTCTCATTCTTACTCTCCGATTCCATTGAAAAGCGTCCAGATTCGACTCGTACGTTCGCTTTCGCTAATTATAGTAATCATATAATAAGGTCTATGAAGCTTTTATATAATTTATGTTCTGGAACTAACCTCCACGATACACTAAGACCTTCTCTGATTCGCTTGATGAGTTTACGTCAATGCGAAGGATTCGAAATAAAATTGTACTGTATTTTGCGAATGAATTTATTCAAATAATTTAAATGTTTTTGTATTAAATTTTTGATTTTTTAAAATTACTAACATCAGTATAGAGTCAACATTATATATAATGTAACATGGGCCAGCTAGAGGTTTTGCGGGGTGCAGGAAAAAGTTACTAGAGAGGCCCAAAAATATTTGCAAAAAAATTTTTTTTAACCGAAAAATCATACAATTTTATTAATTAAATATAAATTTACAAACTATCAAATTTCCTTAGAAATTTTAAAATGCGGGGCCCCTCCGAGGCTCTAAAAACCGATATCTGAGCAGGCCCTGCTTATATGGAATCAATATATTCTACACAAACGGATTTGCAAAATTTATACTCGACAGTGTATAAAATTACCGATTTAATTATTTATATATTTATTAATGTATTTGTTTTTAAAGTAAGTCACAAACTTGTTTATTAAAATAAATTTTCGACTTTTACAAAACAGATATAAAGTAAATTATCGATTGTTTCATTCAAAATACTCGTTATGCCATTTCTCAAAACTTCATTCTTGTGGAGAAAGGCGGAATTAATTGGCGACCTTTAAAACTAAAATCTTTTCTGGGAAATGTTGTAAACAATAACATACAATGGAAAATATCAGTTGATAATAAAAGAAATTCAAACACAAAAAATAACGATATACTATATATAAGACATACTATTAGAAAGGTAATCTAAATGTAACCTTTCTAATAGTACCTTCAACAGTACTTAATGGCAACCAGTTATAAAATAATCCATCAGTGTTGTTTTTTGTTATAGCCTATATTTTTTCATATATTTTATGTTTATTGGGATATTGGATACGATTATAAGGAAAACCATATTACAAAATACATTAATCATGGAATTTTTAAGATAGTTTTCCTTATAACATTTCAATTCTAATCACATATACAATTTTGAGATATTCGTTCCACGAAATAATAACGAATATTCAAGGTCTTTCCTCTTATTTTTTAATAAGCAAATTAGCTTTAATCATAAATTACGTAACTAAATAAAATATATATAGGGCTTATATACGAAAATCAGCCACGTGTATAAATCGTAGTTGAGTAATATTTCTAAACTAAATTTTAAGTATTACATTAATTTTATGTCGTAAAAATTCTCTTAAGTGAGTCAAGGATATTTTAATTTATTCCTGTTTTCTTCGTTTACATTTTCCCTCTTATTATAATTATATTACGCCTTAATTCATAGGTTATGAGCGAAATATAAACACCCACATTAGTAGGTTTATATACTTAGACTGGATTAACATCCACTCTTAATATATAAACCTACACAGTAAAGGTTTAGATGTTAGACCCCCTACTTTTTTCATTTTTCAATATTCAGCATAGCAAGTGTTCATGCATTTTTACGATAATTCAAATAAAAATATTGAAATAATTTATATTCTTTTCAATAATAAATTTTCCTGTAGTACAAAAGACATAAAGTTAAACAAAGTTAGATAAGAATCTTAAACTGTGTAAGCAGTGCCGTAACTTGGCAGGTGCAACAGGTGCACCTGCACAGGGCCCACATGGAAGTGGGGCTCAAAATGCATGTATTTGTTTTATTACTTTCCAAAACCTAATTAATTAAGGGGCCTAAATGCAAATTCCTGCACATGGCACAGGAATGGCTAGTTACGGCACTGTGTGTAAGTTTCAATTTAATTACGAAGAGATTTGAGAAGCTTTCTGTAATAAATTATACACATATATTGAATAGCGAATACTTTACTTCCTTTTATTTCATCATTCTTCTGTAGAGATAATTTTAAGCTGCCAATTTTAACGAAAACAATGGTTGAAATTTGAATTATCTGTACATAACCTAAAGCATTTTCTTCAAAACACTACTAAATAAATCAAAACCTCTGATTAAATTTCTTGTAATTTAAATCAGAAATTATTAATTTCTACTAAAAAAAGAAAAAAAATATAGTAATATATTTTATTTTTACTGTTTAATTCTTCGTAATTCAATAATATTTTCTTATACAATGCTTCAAGTAACTAATTGTAATGCATATATTTTTGTTTTGTTAACCAATATTGAAGGACATGTGTTTGGTTGTTTTCTAAGAAAACACTTGAAGGCAATTCTGTTTTTGAAAAATCACATTATTAATATTATATTATTATTATTATTATATTAATACTAGTATTAATACTAATAATACTAATAAAGTAATATTATTACTTTAGATATATAATATTATATTACATTAATATTATATATCTAAAGTAATAATAATTTCGAAAATTTGACAGCTTACACATACAAATACGTGACGTGTAATTAAACGTAATGACGTATTTTATGTAACTCGTAATAATCTCTAAGGTCATCTATTAGAACAAATTACCATACATAAATATGATAATCTAATTTATTAACTTCTTTATAATGATATAAACGAGTGAAAATAAAGATTTCACTCGTTTTGTATTAATTTTATTTTAATCGTATTTGAATAAAGTGAATGTTAAATAAGTTTTTATGATTCCTCGAATGAACTCATTCCTTTATATTGATTAAATTATTATTAATTGATTAAAAAAACAACCCCACAGAATCTGGTTTCTAAATATTACGCAATATTCTTCGAATTGATAAATTGTGATTAAAATTACTGTAAAATTTTATGAAGAGTTTTCTGGTATTGCAATTAAAATAAATTTAGCTTCATAAACTGTAATTAATACTTTCATAATTTATAGTTAATTCAACCTTTCTAACTGTACTTGAATTAAACGTCATACCTCTATACGGTGTTCTTTTCCTCTATTTTTTTATTATTAATCTAATGATTAGAGAAATGGCATTGAGTCTAACGTTATCAATTTGGATGATCTAATTAAATAGTTCAAGCCTTTCAAATATTTATTATGTGAAGTTAATTCTGTATTGTTTCGTTAGCCTTCTAAATGATCTCTTATCTAAACTAGTTTCTTCGTCATAGTAAGTGAGAAAAGAAAAAAATGTAGTGGCAATTATCTTTATTTATCATCTTCTTGTGCATTCTGATCTTACACTTCGACTAAATTGCGTACAAGATATGTCGGAAAAAATGTTTTATTTGTGTATATAATTTAGAATATTTATAGTGAAATAGCCAATTTACGAAAAAGTGGCATCATCTATAAAAATTTCACCTGTTGACCTACTTAGTACGTCGCCAAGTATTGGTAGATCAGAACCAGATTATACCATAAAGTCAGATTCTTTATCGTTTCTGCAGCTCGAGGAACCTTGACATCCAATATCTAGTTTGTAAATAGTGGATAAGAGGACAGTGTTCCACTTTTTACTTCAGAAGTAAATTAAGTTCTGTGTTAAAAAATAAAATATTCTTTCTTATCAAATTTTGCATCTTTATTAATAATTGACAGAAGAATAAGGATAAGAGAATTTTCTAATTAGTCAAAATTTATGAATTTCAGACGAATTTTTCGCTATAAATTTCAAAAATATACCCTTTAATACTTTGTTTTTCTTAATAAATAAATAATAGCTCTGAACAATAAGTTATAGTGAAAATTAATATTTTAATTTATTAAATCATCAAATGTAAACAGTTTAACGTTTTAGAAAAATTTGCTGGTCCAAGTGTAAACATGTGTTTAATGTAAAATTAACCTTGACACACTTCATATATTTTTTTATTTACAATTATATTGCGTACAGTTTGTAATATTGTGAATTTAATCATTTGTCATAATTTTTTTTTCTTATTTCTATTGTTAATATATCCTGAATTAATGGGCGATAAAGGAATTTTTTATTGCCATCAACGATGTAGCTCGTCTCTGATTCATATATTTGCGATTTTTCACATATAATTTGAATAGAGATTTTATTCTCTATCTCTCATCACATTAGTAGACCTCACTGTATTTGGTTTTGAACACATGAAAAAGGCTAATGGCCACAGTATCGTAAATAAAGTAAAATAAATTAACGTTGAAACAACGACTGGATAGATGAAGCAAATGGAAGGAAATCGTTGAATCTGGCATAGACTCGAACGTAATTTATAAACAGCCACATATCGAATCGAATATTTCCAGATACAGATTTTTCTTTATACAGTATTTATTATATTTGGATCTCTATTCACCATCAATTTACTTGTCGGAATCGTCATTGACAGTTTTAACACAATGAAAAAATACAGGTGGAAACTAAATTGATGATTGATTTGGAATCAGATTTTAATTCTGGGTATGTAGTATGCGTTTTTATAATCAATCAGATTCATGATCAGAAATCTATCAAACTTTTGAATATATATATATATTTATTATTATTATTATTATTATTATTATTATTTACACTATAAAAGCCATAGCACAGGTAACAACTTTTAGATCCGAATATTTATCCAGTATTATGAATTGCGTGGATGTTTTCCTACTTTCTCTGTCTTACGCAAGTCTCATCATTAGACAAGGATTTGGATATATGGATTTTTCTAAATTCACTAAACTATCAGTCTTTCATATTGCGTACTTTGTGATGATGCCGGAGCACGCAAAAAACAGCGATAGAATGTATCGTGTACTGACAGCAATATCA